GGTGGGCAAACTGGATTCTCTCTCTCTCTCTCTATATATATATATATATATTATTTTAATATGTTAATATTAAAAATAATTTAAAAAAATAAAAATATATTATTTTAATATATTTTCAAACAAGCAAAGACTTCCCAAACACCTGCTAGACATACCTTGATTCACAAATACGCTGAAAAACAGTGCTGGATTCGCTAGGCAGTTGCTTTTCTATGTGGGCTTACTTACAACTAACAAAGTAGCTTCCACAAACAAGTTGGAAACTTCCCACTACACCACTACAGGCACATCCTGGAGTCCAAAAGATACAAAGCACTAGCGAATGCCGTTAAATCTCGATATAAAGATTGATAAGTTGAGAATAATCTCGTGGTCAATAGTCCAAATATAAATGTATACGTGAGTCATGTCTAGCTTTATAGGTGTCTAGTTCACTACAAAAGTAGTAACATTCCACGACCAAGAGAACAGGATCTCATCAACGATCTGAGTCCACCGAACTGCTTCGATCAGACCTCACCTGTCAATTACAACCATGATCAGGAATGGTCAGAAAAAAAATTGAAAAGCGAATGTACAGATGAAATATTGGAAAAATCATCTAAGCTGAGAGAATGGTCATACAGAAGGCGAACGGGATACGCGACCAGGACTTATGCTTGGGGTTCTGTGGCCATGTCTTCTGCGAGGAGGCTGCACATCACCAAGGACAACATAATACAGTAAGCAAATAGGTAGGCAGTACTTCAGCACACAGCATGCTGATAATGGAATGAAGCCTTTCACTTACAGAAGCAAGAGGAGATCTTGATCTTGAAAGGGACCTGCAAAATTTTCCATAAAACAGAAAAGTAACACTACTCTTTAGAAGCAGCTAAAAAAAAAAAAGGGAACCAAATTCACTATCTGATGAATGCTACCTCAATATTTGTTTAACTCTTTTCCCAGCAGGTAATGAGGATTTAAAACAATGCGTAGAGAGAAAAACAGAAAAAAAGAACAGTATAGCACCATTACAATATTCCAAATGAAAAGGCATCTTCCCCATCCATACCAGAAGAAAGAAGAGCTACATCCTCCCTGTCGGTATCACCAAATCCAAGGAGAATACCAAACACAGGTTAAGGGTAATGTCGAAGCAGTTTCAAGTTTCTTTGTACCACTGATGACAGGTGGCACCGATAGTGCTTACTTCACAGTAATCCAGCTTTAAAATCATAATCCCATCCAAGCTTCATCAATTCTAATGCTAATTGACACACCAACTTAATAGCATTGTGAGATTATTAGGAACCAACTTAATAGCATTACGAGATTATGAGGATTTTCCAGAGGTGCCCATCAACAAAAACAGCATTACCTCAAAACAAGCAAAGAGGTGCAAGCATATGACCACCACATCCCATCAAGTCCTTAACATCCAATCCCCAGGTGGTCAGGTCGCTGCATAAAGCCAGATCAAGCAAAACAAACAAGGAAAACTTCACAAACAAGGTATGCTACTAGCCAACTCAGAAACCCTTTCCTGGTAGCACTTCTCACTCTTTAAAGCAATGATTAGCTTTCCATTTCCAAAAGGTGGTTAAGATTTTATTAGCATCTAAGCAAGATTGTCAAATTGGTGAAGAAGAAAGATTAAGAATAGAAAGAAGTTGCACAGCTAGAAGGTCTTATGTTGGAATGCCACGGTTACAAGACACTTGATATTGCCACAGCATTTGAAATTTCCAATTATCAAGGAAAGACACCATCAGAAGAAAGGGAATTACTGAAAAATACTACGAAATTTGGGGATTCATCCACTGACATACTAGCAGATACAAAAAAAAAAAAAAAAGATTGACAACCAAAAAAAAAATGAGAACGAAGATGAATTACTTAAAAGAGCCAGAAGATAACAGGCTCACTAAAATGGCAAGCTCACTAAGGAATAGAAGATAACAGGCAAGCTCAAAGAGCCAGACATTGAGATCGAAGAATATGCTCTGTAGTAGTAAATTTGAAAATGCAAAGAAAGAACTACAATCATTACTCTACCTAAGATTGTGCTCAGCCTCAAAAGTTTCTGCAAGTGGGCTTCTATTGATGCTCCAGTAACTTAATCATAAGGTATGTTTTTCATGCCAACAAAGATTTAACATTGACCAGTCAATCATGCAAAGTTAAGGACTTGGGGCTTTCAAAACTTTTTGTAATAGAGGCGATAGAAATATGTTCTGCCCATGTGAATGTCCATTCAAAGACACCAAGAAGCTTTAGAACTCAAGTCAGATGCGTGCAAAACTGAAGCTGTAGCCTTGGCTATTATGCTGCTCTAGATGGGATGAGTCAATGGTCATGAGAAAGCAAGTTAATGCTACTATTTCATAAGCTTTTGTGCAATGATTCAGTAAAATTGACCTTAATGAATAACAAAAAATTAAGAAATTAGATTATTTATCCACACTCTGGCTCTTTCATGTAATAGTTATAAAGGAATCCAACATTAAAAGCTCGTTGGGAAAATGCAATAACAAAAAGACGTACATGTCAAAATTGAAGTGACTTCAACTAAATCTTATAAAGGACTGAAGAAAAGAGTTGCTAATAAAATCATGGAAAACTGATGACTTATAATGTAAAAATGATGGCAGTAGGAAGAATAAAACGGCAACCAAAAGCAGAAGAGAATAAAATGTTTACAGCTTTACCCTTTCCCTACTATCTTCCCATTTCTTGGATAATCAGCGCTTTTAATTTCCCTTCTCTTAGAAACCCATCCCATTAGATAAAAATGCAAATCAAGATTTATAAATAAAAAAAGGTCTCATGCAAATTGTAACACCCAGCAACCATTTGTGATAAAAATGACCTTGAGTTACAACAAAGTAAAAACTTTGGTAAATATCTTATTGAGCATCTTAAAATAACGCGACCAAGAACAGAAAGAAAAGCAGAAATGGTATACCTCGAAAAAGATCGTGGAGATGATCCTGCATGAGAGCGAGAGGAAACAGATACAGATCGAGAACGCCGTGAATGTTTTGCCCTAGGCGACTTGCTGCAAAACAACACAATGTTAAGTCAATTATCATTATGGTTTAAACATACACATTCTAAATCCATTATGGCAATGCAGACCTCCAGCTCCTGTCACTATAGCCTCCACTGCGACTTCGACTCCGACTTCTTGACACGTATGAACTGCGACTGGGGCTCCTAGAGTAACTCCTCCTAGAATCATACTCCCTCACCTAGAGAAATAAGACAATTAAGTAAAAACCAACATGACCAAGATCTAGCACAGCATACAGATCTTGACATACCCGAACATATGCCCTTGAAAATGCATTCCGGAACTCAGAGTCATCGAGCTTCTTGATCTACAAGGGAAAAACAGCATAACCATCACAAAACAAGCTTCCTAAAAGGCCACCTAAAGTTAGTGGTAACAACTTACAGCATATTTCATGTCATCATAGTTTGTGTAGTCCACAATTCCTGTCATGCCTGCAAACAATTTGCTAAAAAAAGTTACCAGTACCTTTAATTTCAAATCCAGAGTCAACTGCTGCTTCTACATCCAAATAAAATATTTCAAATTCAGCCCTCAAAAAAAAAAAAAAAAGTTTCATAAGCCTCTCTTTCTTATGTCCAGTATGCAATGCAACCACAGATAGCTTCAAATGCAGCATCTCTCAAAAAGACAATTCAGGCAGTACCACAGCAGATATTAAAAAACTGTACATAATGCAGGTTTGAGCAGAAGTAGATGAAACTGTTTTCATTGTTCAACCCAAAGTACCCATTATTAAGAATATTTAAATATATGGTCCAAAGCCATATAATTGCCCTTCTACTCCAAAATTAACTTCAAAGTGAGAAACATGGACCAATGAAAATCAATTACTTAATAAATATTACTTCTGCTAACCAGTTTAACTCAGCCGTTCAGAAACCGTGCAGCAAAAAATAAACGTAAAATTATTTCACTAACCACCACGATCACGAAAGACTTGAGAAAAGCAGACATCACCGGCTCGACGCATATGATCCTGATAATTGAATATACATGATAAAAATGAATTTAACAATGAAAGCCAACTGATCTCATGTCTTGGCTTAGAAAACAAATACTCAAGGAGAAGCATGAGCACAGCAGAAAAATTAAGGCCTGGGCATACCTTTAGGTCTTGCCATGAAGCAGAAGAAGGCAATCCAGTCACTAACACTGCATGACATTAAGAAGCAGTAAATAAATTATTTGATAGAAAATACATCATTATACTGCAAGATTGACATCAAAGGGAAACATACCACGATAGTCAGAGCGCTTGGAAGGCCCACGGCTACCACTGCTACCACTGTAACTGCTATAATGGTCCACTGGTGATGAATGTCTTCGCCCACCATGGGCAAGCTCAACCTAGAAACCAAATTGCACCCAAACGAATGGAATTAATTCAAAGTACAAAATAGAAGCAACAAACCAAACCAAAATCAATATCATTGGCAGAAAAAAAGTCATATATACAAAAAGATAATAGATAGGAAAAGAATAATACTTACTCGTAATCTACACCCATCAAAATTATATCCATCCCGGCCACGAATTGCATCTTCAGCATCGCGAGCTTCTTCAAACTGTAACATAAAAGAAGTCAAAAATTTACATTAGCAAGACATAAATCCAAGGGATGGGAGAAATAAGCAACTTCAATGTAAATAATCGTTCCAAAGTGCACATACATAAATATTTCCCGTACAATTCTCCCTAATATAAAACAAATTTAATCTCACCTCAACAAAAGCATAGCCCGGAGGCCTTGGCGGGATTTTCAAATCAATGTCAACAATGGGCCCATACTGCAATTAAAAATCAACACAAATCAGAATCGATGCAATGCTAATAAGAACACACGATCAGAAATTACCAGACTAATAAAATGCATCAATCCATTGTATCGAGCATGGTGCCGCAGTTTAGCCAGTATTTTCGAAGATCTTTTCCCAGATTATAAATCTAGAATACTAAACATCACCATGTTTTCACCCAAATTCTTAACACTTCGCATCAACTTCCTAATATTAACTCACCAATGTTCGATGATCGCAACAAAACTCCTTCGAACAAAAAATTAAATTATAGAGTGCAATACCTTATAAAACAAATCTTCAACTTCCCTCAGGCGAATATCGCCAGGAAGATTCCCGACGTAAAGTGTTCGACTTGCTCGGCTCATTTTTTTTTCTCTGAAAAAACACAATTATGATCAAACCTGAAGACAGCTATAATAATTCAATTTTAATTAAAAATAAATAAAATATAAGAAATCCATTAAAAAAACACAGAGAGAGTTCTTGCACTGAAACAGTGATTTTGATGAGTAAAAAAACACTAAGTTTATTAAGAAAATATCTAAAAAATTTAATTAACAACATAAAAATAGACATGAACTGAGAATCTTGGATAAAAAAAAATAAATAATAAATAAAGCAGCTGATTAATATTACAAAAAAATAAATTAAAAAAAAACGCGAATTGAGAACATAAAAATTCATTAAAAAACCGAATTTTGGTAAAAAAATGGAATAAAAACAGCTGATTATCAATATATTGAATCGAAAAAAAAAAAGGAATTGAAAAACTGACCTTTTAGTTAAGACCAGAGAGGGAGTTTTTGAGGGTTTTCTCGAGCTCGTAAGATTCTTCTCGAAGGAGAGAGGAGATTTAAATTTGAGGAGGTGTTTTCCTATGTTACCCTTGCGTGTTAGTGTAATTACTAGTAGTTCGTTTACTTTACTGTCACGTGTCACTTGATTATTTAAGTTTGACGGGAAAATGATATTAGAATATTTTAATTGGTCCCTGTTCCCTTCGCATTGTTTTGATTGAGTCTCTCTACTATTTTTATGTTTGATTGAGTCCCTATTTGCTTATAATATATTGATGACTGACACGTCACTCTATGCTTAAAAATATAGTAATAAAAAGTAACTTTAAATTAAAAAAAAAGATAGGATAAACAATATTTTAAAAAAACAAAAATTATTTATCCTAGGCATTAAATATTAAAGTAATGGAATATCAATTTTATATTTTTGTTTGTTTATATATTTTAAAAGTGTTTTTAAAAAAAATTAAATTTTTTTTATTTTTTTATTAACTTTAAATTAATATATTTTTAGTGTTTTTAAATTATTTTAATATATTGATAATAAAAATATTTTTTAAAAAATAAATAAAATATTAATATATATTTTCACTCGAAAAATTATTTAAAAAATAATCATAATTGTACTTTCAAATAAAATCAGGACTTTCTCTTTCTATTTAATTTTTATAATTATTAAGTTAATTATTTTATTTTCAAGTATGGAAGGACACGTCAATCATTTATCAAAACCAATTGTGCTGCCTAGTGAGCAACTCGCATGGAAGGAGGACCACATTGTCTGTGTTGTAAAACATACAAAGACTTAATCAAGAAAAAACAATCGTTGAGGAGCATACTGAAACAATTTAAAAAGTATATGGATGGACCATGGTAAAATTCACAGGAAGTAATGTTTGAAACGTAAACTATTGGAGTCGTCCAGACCACAGAAATTATATTCTCTTGTGTGGTTGGAATTTCTATGCTTTTGTTTTGTAAGGTTGATTCTGATTTCCCATGTGATTAAAGCTACTTTACGCGTACGTGTTATGACGCGGGTGAATACAAAAAGCTTTAACATGAAAAATGTTGAGATTATTCATAATTATTTGATATTTTTATTAAATTTAATGTAAAGAATTAATTTTAAATTTTTTAGTTAATTTTTTACTTAGTTTAAATTTAAAATTAAAAGTATATTTATAATTTTAATAAATATTATTTTTATTTTTATTTTAAAATACTTCGAGATATTATTTATTTTTAACAACAATATAATAAAACAATTTTAAAAACTAAGAAAATATAATTTTAAGTAAAAAAATCAAAATCTTTCAAAAAACAGGATTGAACTAAAAAAAATATAATTTAAACTATATAAAAGTTATTCTAATATAATCTAGTCAACATATTTGTCTAAAAACTACCTTACCAAACAATAAAAAATAAAAGAAAATGATAAAACTTATTAAAAAATAATTTTTTTAATTTAGATTTAAAATTAAACTTTGTAAAAATTATTTTGAAATAATCTAATTAACTTAATTAATTTAAAGATAACATAATAATTGTTTAAAAAAAAGGTATAAGAATAGTACTGAAAAAATGGAAAAAAATAAAAGAAAAAAAAGGGATAAGATGAGAAAAATAAAAAGAGTCTCATAATTCTGCAAAATATGTCATGTCTTCTAGTAGAGAAAGCCAGAAAGGCAATGTAATTACAAATTATTCATTTTAAATTTACAAAATAAATAATCTCTCCAATTTAAAAAATAATTAATTAGAAAAATCAGAAATAAGGCAATACCTGAGTAATGATTGGAAATGATTAATTTTTTATTTTAAAAAATAAAAAAATATTTTAATTTTTTTAAATCAACAAATTAATAATTAATTAAATTAAATCAAAATTAATTCAACTCAAGATTTTAATCGGCACAAACAATTTTATTTAACTTGGATGGGTTTAGCCATATCATTGATCTCCTGGAAAACTTAAAGCAAAGTAACAAAGAAAATATTCATGATATTTTTTCTTTTAACATATGTGAATATCCAGGTCAATTTATATAATTTATATATATCATGATTAATTTCATCGTTCATTAAATATTTTATAAATTTAATGAACATATAATACACCACAGAGAAATGACAAACATATATAATAGAACTTAAGCTCAAATATATATATATATAAAAAAAAATCTCTTCGACCACTAACCTAACACCTCGTATACATGCTCGTGACATTCTTGTCCCTGTGCGTGCTGGGTTTTTCATTTTTTGCTGCGTTTTCCGAGTAAATGCTTATTGGAGGCTTAATGGTAACATGCAGTGATTTTTGTGCATGCTTTTGTGTTTTAAAGGTTAAATTTTCCTTCTAATCATGTACTGTTGTTTAAGGCAAATTCAAAAAGAAATTATAAAGGCGATCTACGAAACTTGACCCAGCCTCACGAATGGATTTAGTAAATTGTAAACTCAAAGTTTATACCGTATTAAGTCTTATATTGAATAAGTTTTTGCTTTTAAAGAAAATGATCTTTATTTTGGTGGTTTTTTAAAACCCTCGAAACAATATTATTTTATTATTTTTTTAATGTAAAATAAAGACAATTCATTGATCCACAAATTGACTCATTTGCAACTCAAAATTTTAAACCAAGTACCGACTTGCATGTTAGCTATGCTTCAAGTTAGATTGATTTAAGAGTTTGTTTAGATTAAAGTATTTTTTTTGTTTAAAAATATATTAAAATAATATTTTTTATTTTTTAATATCATTACTTGAAAATAATAATAAATACTAAAAATATAAATTTATTTTTAAAAAATATTTAAAATTCTTGAAAATCACAGTTAAAATCATAGTTTTGAAATCCAAACCTGCTCAGAAGATCGCTCGGGAATCGGTCAACCCAGACATAAGACTAATCCAGATATAAATAACCATTTATGAAGGAGCTGGTCTAACAAAACTCAGATAAACTTGATTTTTTTTATATGTATATAAATAAAAAGCGATATCGTTTTGGCCTTTTAAAATGCCAAAACAATGAAGATGGCATTAAAATACCTGCAAATGACAAAGGATGTAGAGAAGGGAAGCCTAACATACAAGCTTGAAGTTTTCTTCAATTCCTGCATACTTTACGGGTGGAAAGATTCTATTATCACTCTATGGAGCATCAAAGAATTTTCTTCGTGGTCAGAAAACCTTGGAATAACAAACAAATGCGTTGAAGCGATTACCTCTAAAGTCTTAACTCACCCATCAAAGGTGAGTTGTCGCTCGTTTACCTTATAAGGGAAAGAAACGACGAGTCTTGTAATGAAGCAGAGAGCCAGAGACATGAACCACCAAGTAAAGGGTGGTCGGCCGAGGATATGGCAGAATTAGACATAGACCTATATTGGAGAACCATGATAGCAGTCAAGTCCGGTGGAAAGATGTCATCTCGCTTCTCTTTATTTTTTGCTTTTTTTTTATGCCATCTCTCTTTTCTTTATTCTTTGACTCTTATTTTGGATTAATCAAGATTAATTTATCTAACTTGTGATTCAATTATCAAACCGAATTTGTCACTAGATTGAATTTCAAAACTATGGTTAGAATAGATTCACATTAGTTGCCTTTTTTATCAATTCAACGAGATCACATATTGGAACCGGTGAAGTTACTATCTTATTACAAACACCATTTTTTTCCTTAACAAAATTAATTCTAAACTTTAATTTGAACATATTTTTAGTATATTTGTTCATGTATTTATTTTTTTAATTTTAATTTTAATTATCTTAAAATTTTAAATTATTTTGACATTATTAAAAATAAATTAAAAAATAATTTCTAAAAAGCCAGCGAAAACAAAACATCTGGTTTTAAATACTCCACACGCTGCTTCTTTGCCTGTTTTGCCTGCCCGCGGTTTCTCCTGAAACCGGTCTTCTCTCTCGCGTCCTCTAAACCACCGCAACAAAAACAAAATATAAAGGAAACCTCAGTTGTCTGTCTCTCCCAGACACAACAAGAGTCTCTCGTCAAAATGGCTGATGCTAAGACCAAAGTAGAATCTTTCCGGGAATGGGTTGTTGACCACAAGCTTAGAACTGTTGGTAATTCACTGCCGTTTGCCTTTCCTTCTTATTGTTTCTTTTTGATTTTTTGTGATATGGGTTTTTTATTTGATTAATTGTTTTAGAGAAAAAGGGGTTTCTTTTAAATTTTTTTTGGTGCCTTAGTTTCTTTTTAAATTTGTTTTGGTGCCTTACTTTCTATTGAATCAAAGTTGTTTCCTCTGTGCTTCAAAATTTTGTGATATGGTTTTTTGATTTGACGGTGTTTTTCGAAAAGGGTTTCTCTCTAAATTTCTTTTAGTTCTTTACTTTATGCTGGATCAGAATTCCGTTCTTTACTTGGTTTTGTGCTGGTTTTTTGACTCGATTGTTTTGTGACGAAGGGTGTCTATGGATTAGTGGTATTGCGGGTTCGTTCGCCTACAATTGGTCGAAACCAAATATGAAACCCAGTGTTAAGATCATTCATGCCAGGTAAAGTTTCTTTCTTGGTTGCTTTCTTTATTAGATTTCTTGTTTTTTAGCTTCCGTGACGTGATCCTTATTGCATCTGTGTAATCTTATGAAACAAGAAGAAATTATGATATAGTGAGCATGTATGTTCCTGTATATTGCTGTAGTCTGAAGGAAATAAATTTGAAGTTCTGAGTTTCATTGTTATCTGTTTACCGGGTAATAGAATAGACCAATGCATGTTAATTTTGGGCGTACCTAATTATGCAAAAAGATGACCCTTCGATTTTAGGTGACTTTGGTAATTTAAGAGATGATCAGAAAGCAACCAACTTTGGATTTGTAGGTACTTGAGCGAACAGTTCATTGTATATTGTTGTCGTGTGATATGATCAGTTAAGAGCAGCAAGTGTTATGTTATGTTTGAGCATTTAGCTGTTGGCCGATCACGCCTCAATTTATGCTGTCATTGTTGTTGGCTACTTGACTTTTGTGTCCTTACCTAGTTCCTGAATTAAAAACCTTATTACAGAATTATAGGGGATAAATGAACAGTTTTAGTGCCACCCCGGTTCAATCCTGTCTCTATAAACAAGTGACACCTAGATAGGGATACTCTCGAACATGGAGTGGTTATTCTGGGTGCAAGTTCTGGCATCTATCGTTGAATTTGAAAATGGCCCTTCCTAATTTGTCTGTCGTTGATTCACCATATTTTGTGGCTTTAGAATCAATACACAGTTAAGCATGGGATTAAAATCTGTGTTGTCAGCTCAGAACGTGCTAGACTTTTTATGGTAATTCATATTTATGAACAGTGTACGGAGGTCTGCATTCTTCCATGGCAGCTGGCACCCTCATTTCCATGTTCAATAAAGAGGGAGTGAAAGTCATCTAGAAGCATGTTTTTTTCCTCATCGTGCTGTTGATGTTGCTGCCATTGTTAAATGTTCAAGTATATGATGCATTGCTTGGCGGTTGCTGCCTATAAAGCCCTGTTTGCTAAAATTTCCTTTTAAATGTTAATGGTCTGAAGTTATTCTTCATCACTATTTGATACCCTGTGTGCCTTCTTCCTGATAGCCCTGTTCATATCTAGTGTGGTCAGAATTATTTTTTGCCTTGTTAACCTTGACCTCTTCCTGTTGGAATTCAGGTTGCATGCACAGGCTCTCACCCTGGCTGCTTTAGCCGGTGCTGCTTTGGTTGAATACTTCGACCACAAATCTGGAGCGAAGGCTGAACAATATGCGAAGTTCGTCCCACCCAAGGACTGAAACATTCAAGATACGGGGCCTCCAATGAAAAGATAACCATATTTCCTTGAATGAGCAGTGGTTTTGTTCTTTCGTATCTTCTGGTTGTAATTGAGTTAACCTAATACCAATGATTTAGCAGTCAAATACATCCAATGAGAGAATGAAGTGAAAAATGATTTGTTTTCAAGTTTTTATTCCTAAGAAAATAGGATGACAGATATTCTAGAGAGGGATAAGTGGTGGATGAGTAGATTATTCCGATGATCACACGAATTAGCAGTTAAATCCATCACTAGTTTCATTGTTTAATGATCTTAAATGAAGTTTGATATTGAAAATTATGTTAAGAATTGTTAGTGGCCCGCTGCAGTTGATTTGCATTTCGAATATTGATGATGCGTGTTATAGCTTCCTGGTCCCATCATGATTGTGATAGAACAGGTTTTGTACTATTATGAAAAGCAAGCGCAGATGCCGGGGAAGGAAATTTGCTATTCGAGATATAATTATTCAAATTAATTCTACTAAATTTTTACTTTCCAAGATGAGGGACAAGATTGCTATGTTTGTTCTTTCATCGAAGCTTTCATCGATTCAGATGTAGAGTCGGCTCGCATCTCTAACCAATTTATAAATTTAGAAAAGAAAAATGATTTAATAATAAATTAATAAATCTTTTTATGGACCAAACTTGGGGTCTCCCTGAATCCCAGAAAATTATTTTAAGAAGGCAAGGTTCCTCATGCATTATTATGATATCAATTTCTCATCTCGAATTCCTATTTCCATCCAAAATTTTTCTCTTGGTCCAAATAAAATATCATATGAAACATAGCCAAATGATGGATTTACACAAAAGAAACATTCATCATTTAAAATCAATGGCTTTGATTAGCACTATGCATTTGTTTTTGCCATTTTTTAAATTGTTTTTTTCTAACAACATTAAATTAAATTGTTCAAGTATTTTTAATTAAAAAACATTTACATGACAACATATGTAATAATAAGATAAATGTAATGACTAGGCATTTGAATTTTTAATTAGTAGAGAAGTCAAGATGTGAAATTAACAATATAATGTTTTATGAAAATTGATTATAAAATTAAGTTTTTAATGGATATTTTTAAAAAATAAAATATCATCATTTAACCTATAATTTAACTAGGTAATTTAATGATTTAGACCTTTTTCCTTGGACCGGGTCTATAACTATGATTCTTTTAAGACACGTATCTAACGAAGAGGCTGAATTATCATCCTGCGAAATCTAAAACACTAAGAACCGAAATGGAATGTTGAACAATTTATAAGGGCTAAGCCGCAGCTTAGAGTGAAAAATAGAAAGCCACCATTATAAACCAAACCCTAGTCTCACCCTCTTTTTCCCCTAGCAGACGGCCGCTCAATCTCTCTTGCCTGCACAGTTTCCACCGGTAACTCCTTGGCTCTCTCAACATTTTATCTCGTCTAAATTGAAGAAAGCTTGTGTTTCTTTTAATTATTGAATTTTTCTTATTTATTTTTTGATTGCAATTTCAGGGAGTAATCGAAGATGAGTAAGGCAGCAGCAGCAGGGCCCAAAGGGAAGAAGAAGGGTGCGACCTTCACAATAGATTGTGCAAAGCCAGTGGAGGATAAGATTATGGATATTGCTTCATTGGAAAAGTTTCTTCAAGAGAGGATCAAAGTTGGAGGCAAAGCTGGTGCTCTTGGTGATACTGTTACTGTTACTCGTGAGAAGAACAAGATTACTGTTACTTCTGATAGTAACTTCTCCAAAAGGTAAAACCCTTTTCTTGCTTTGCTGCATGTGTTGTCATTTTTGGGTTTCTTCGGTTGCTTGAGATGATATAAGTTTGCTAGTGCTGATTTTTGCTAGTGTCTTGGTCTCTTGACTTTCTTCAAACGTTACGAATGGAATCGTTTGGTATAGTTGTTTTTGGTGAATGTTGAATGGTTTCTTTGTTGTCTAGATGGTAGTAATCTGTTGGAAGTTAATCATATAGACAATTGGAAATGGTGGGAATCTATTTTATAGAAGAAGTCTTAGGTGATCAAGAAGCAAAAAGAGGGGACTGGTGGTGGCTCTAGTTTGTTTATATGGTTTTGTAGCATTCAGAGATCATGATGATTAGGTTTTCGTCTTGCTACTCTCAATTTTTGCATGAAAGTGGCCTGGTTTAGTGGAGTGGAAAACCAGAAAACTAAACACTCTGAAACCTAGCTTGTCCTGTTTTTTTCAGCTTACCTTTCCATTTTTAACATGTAAATATTACATCATTGAAAGATTGTTTTTGGAATATTGATGAAGATCATGACCTCTTGGGTACTTATTTCACAATTCGCTTAGTGTAGAAATTGACAGTGGTTATATAGATGGCCTTATTTCCCTAATTGTCTCACCTATTTCTTCCTGTTTTGTTCTTGTCATTTGCCATTTGATTTTGCATGAATCCTGTCTGCTTTGCTAGAACATGGACTTTTCGGTTTCTATTTGCTGTCAATTTGCTTTGATTGTAGAAATTGCCATAACACCATTCAATTTCTATCCTAAGTTTTTGCCCAAGTCATTGTAGCCTGTGTGAGCAACGCTTTCTTGTTTTGTGCCCTATCTCAATGATTTCCCATTTTGATTTGGCCACAGGTATCTCAAGTACTTGACAAAGAAGTATTTGAAGAAACACAATGTCAGGGATTGGCTACGAGTGATTGCATCCAACAAAGATCGCAATGTGTACGAGTTGAGATACTTCAACATTGCTGAGAACGAGGGAGAGGAGGAAGACTGAAATTTAGGTTTCATAGCCAATCGAAACCCCTCCATTTTTTTTTTTGTTTGATCAAGTGATGTTTTGTAAAACATTTACCGAGTTGATGTTTTATAATTTTATTACTGAGTAAGTTCTTTTGCAATATTGCAGCAGCTAAGTTGAGAACCTACCTGCCATTTAGAATATCTGGAATTTGCTCAGGTTGTCTTTTACTATGTGCTTCAGCTTTGATTAGTTATGGCCTTCAAAATTCGAGTGCTCTAGTGATTTGATCTGAATATCACTCTTTGAAATTTATTCAGGAGTCGGTGGTTTCTGGCTCTGTGTCGGTTTATTTTTCAACAGTTAACTCCTATGATACCGGTTCTTCATCTTGTTTCATGCATCATCATTAGGTTAGCGTAAATTGTTATTCTTTTTGGTATGCCATGCCGGGCTACAAAAATATTTGGAAGGAAAAAAATTAATTTTTTACAAATACATTCGAACCATACAAATTACTGTTTACATAAAAATAATTAAATTCAATTTGGAATGGAATTACAGAGGAAACCTGTGGGCGGACAGGATTCGATGTACCCTGTAAAGCTACAGTAACACATGCACGGAGCTAAGTAGGCTCCCACCAAAAGTTGTTAAAGCTTAAAAGAATGACATTCATTTAGGCAAAAAATTTATGCCTAATTTTAACAATACATAAAGCATCCTCGACCTTCAGCTTGTGTGATGGAGAAAAGAGAAGACACAATGGGCAAACTGAGCTTTCTAATGTCTGATAAAGTCACAATTTCCCCATCAAAGCACCACAGCATAATGCGAGTAGGTTCACCATCAATTAATGTGCTTGTAAACTGGATCCTCTTAGATTAATTAGGAACTAATTTGGTGTGGGATTAGGGATGTTTACTGGATAATGTGATTCACTAAACAATGTTTCATCATCCTATCCTGCAAAAATATATGTGGCTAGCTTTTCTCACTTTGCGATTTTTTCAAAGACAGCACCTTGAGGAACTCATGCAAGCTTTTCTTTTTTAATATTTAAGCTCTTTTTCTTTCCTGCCCTTAATTCGAAACTTGAATCGATCTAAATTAAAGTTATAACCCCATTTGTTTCATACAAAAGTAATTTATTTTTAACAATCAAAGAATCAGTTATGATCTTGATCAGTTTTTACAGACGCATTCAGTAGAAACAAACCTCAGCTTTATGTCTATTAATATAAAAGAATCAGTTATCATTTTAATTATTACTTGTTTTAATCGTTTTTATAGATGGAATTCGCCCAAGACAAATCTTTTACTGTCTTGCTTGGTTGTATGGCAGCCTATTTAATTTTCTTTTAATTACTATTGACAGCTTGTTATTTCTTCTGTTCTCATCCTTTCAATCTCTCTCTCTCCCCCTATATATATATATATAGATATATATAATTTATGCTTCAATACCATTAAAAAAGAAAGAAAGTGATAATAACTATTGATCAATTCCCTCTTGAGCCATGGCTAGCAAGAGCATGGCTTTCTTTCAAGTTCTTATAAGCTCAATTTTTCTTCTTGTTTTCCCTCGGTGTTCATGTGAGGCATATGATGATGTAGCCAAACTCAAGCAATGCAGGTTCAATGCAATATATAATTTTGGGGCTTCGCTATCAGACACGGGCAATCAAATTATAGAGATTCCTCAGGTTTGGTCTACCAAACTTCCCTACGGCCAAGCTATTCATAAAGTAACTGGCAGATCCTCTGATGGGTTGCTGATAATTGATTACATTGGTAAGCAAACATTTTCTTCTTAATTCTTCTTCTTTGATTTGGTAAGCAAATATGTAGCTAGTTGGTATATATACCGAATGTATTTAGTTTTGTTTGCAACTTTTGCAGCAAAATCAGCAGGTCTTCCCTTCCTGGAACCCTATTTGAAATATCGAAATGCAACAAGTTTCTTATCTCATGGAGTGAACTTTGCTGTTGGTGGTTCTACCGTATTGTCATCGGAATTTCTTGCAGAAAAGAACATCTCTAACGATCATGTTAAAAGCCCTCTTCATGTACAACTTGAATGGCTGGACAAATATTTACAAGGATATTGTCACGATGCCAAAGGTTACTATCATATCCAAACCTCTCATTTAAGTTACAAAATCAGATCCTGGAAATGTAATTTCTACATGTTCTTGCCAAAGGGTATTTAGTGACCGTTTGCCATTGCAGTGCACTTTGCAACCCGCGTTTCGCCAGCGAAAACATGCACTAAAAATGATGCTTTTGCTGCGGTGCGCACCATGTTGTCAAACAGTGCCTTGGTCTAATACATTGATCTTCTGTAAAGTAGGAAGGACAGTATTATTATAGGATATTTGTTCAAGTTCAAAGTTCGAGTGGTTCCTGATCACTTTGTTATATTTGATAGATTGTCAGGAGAAGCTTGCATCATCTCTGTTCACAACTTTTGCTGGAGGCAATGACTATGGCACTGCATTGTCCCAAAATAAAACTATTGAAGAGGTGAAGAATAGCCTGGTGCCCGAATGTGTGCAAACCTTGAAACATGTTGTCAAGGTAAGTTAACATGTCTTGATTTAACGTCTGAATCAACTTTTTCCTTGCAGAATTTATTGGCTAAGGTGACAATTTTCACTTGATCTTTTGATTAATTCTGATATCTTGTTAGTTGGTTATAGAAATTCATCCATCATGGTGCTCGTAGAGTCCTTGTCCATGGACTCCCCCCGTCTGGTTGCGCACCACTATTTCTTACAAAATTCTCTTCAAACAACTCAGCTGCTTATGATGGATTTGGTTGTCTAAAGAGCTACAATGACCTGTACAATTATCACAACGATCGTCTCAAAGAAGCCATTGAAGAATTGAAGAAGGAATACCCTCATGTAGATATAGTGTACGGTGATCTTTACAAAGCAATGCAATGGATTATGGACAATTCTCGACAACTTGGTGAGTGCTTTTTTCCACTTCTCAACTCAAGGAAGAGCAACAATTTTTCTTCAAACATGAATGAACCACATAAACTAATCTAGTTTCTTCAAAAACACTTCGATCATGAGACATCAGAGATCAAGTATGAATATGATGTGATTTTAATATGATTACTTCGTTGTTTCCAGGGTTCAAGTCAGTAACAAAAGCATGTTGTGGGCCTAAAAGTGAGTACAATTTCATCGATAACTTTCATAAAATGTGTGGAGCTCCAAACATACCAGTTTGCAAAAAACCTAAGCAGTATGTCTACTGGGACTCCGGTCATTGGACTCAAAATGCAAATAAGCATCTGGCAAAGTGGCTGATTAGAGACATCTTCCCAAAGTTTCACTGCAAAAAAGTTTGACAAGCTTCAATTTTGTTAAGCAAATAACATTTGTTGTAAACTTTTATTTGTTATGTTATCTTCGTGATTCTTAAGCATGATCAATGATGCTTTTGAAAATTATGAAATAAATATCATAGGATTTTATTAATTTGTCCATGTTTTTGCCTTTGCACAAATATGAAATGAAGATTATAAATATATTTGGGCCTTGATCGATCCACCTTGTTCTCGTAACCCCTGAATGTTGTAATATCATGATCATGCTCGGTCCTGTGATTTTTTGGTCAAGCTCTAACCAATTTAGAGTCAGGTAGCTAGCTTGTATGAAGTTTCTAAATACCCTTCTTTGAAGAATTTACTAAAAGATTAGAGGTTAACAATCACCACCAAAAAATTATAAGACATCAATTAAATATTCTATCAGCGAGTAAATATAATTTTATTGGCAATTTAAATCTTTGATGATAAATTTACTGTTAGAAGCGCATTTAAAAAAAAATTGTTTGGAATTTGCTATCATTTACAATTTTATCTTTCATTCAGTGTCTTTTATACTTTTCGTGTAAACTACTCGGTTCATGCTCTAAATTACGAGTTCTTACTAAATTCTGATTTATCTAAAATATTAACACAGGATAAAAAAAATATGTCAAGAAACTACTCATAAGACTTTATCCTAATATTTTAACAGTCAGATTAAAAGTTGTTTGATTAGATAATTTATTATTTTTCATTAGGAATATGAATTTTCTTCGTCATTCCTAGCATAAATTATACTAATTATGTTAATAAATCCCTAGGATCATTTTCTTATACCAGGTATATATTTTTTTTTTTTATTATTTGTTTCATTTACAAACTTCTTACTAGTTTACGGTAATGTTATAAATTTTGTTATAAATTTTTATCTGGATATACATCAACACTTTCAAGTGCAATTATTTCTTAACTTTCATTCTTCAGGTCCAATATAACTCCTTAGAGCTATTTCTTATTCCTACAAAATATTTATTTTAAATTCCTTAAATTTTTCTATTTCCCAAAATTCATTATCAATTTCATTGATGTTATAAATTTTAAGCAAAAATTCAAAACCCCTATTTTTTAACCTTCACATCACTCCTATATTTATTTATACAGATCATCCCCTTCATCACATATCACATTTATTATTTTTATTACCCTTTAACAAGTTAAATACTCCTATTCAAGTATTTACTTTTTTTACCCTTTTCCTGGTGTTTTCTTCCTCCAGTCCTTGGCAAGACAGCAAGGTGGCATTGGTCACAAATATGAAAAAACCACCATAAACCAGGGGGGGTGGAAGTGGAGAGTGAATTTTTTTGTACTAGACATAAAGGAATCATACACACCTAGGGACTCTCCCTGCTGTCCCCAAAACCAACATAAATTTCTTCACTCTCTCCCCCAAAAATCTCTCTCATTTTCTCCATGTTTAATCAAAAACTTGCTCGCCACACGCAACCCCGACCTGCATTTTCTTGCACTTTATTTCCTGCTTTTACTGCCAGTCCCCCCACCACTATCATCCAATCTTCCTGTGCCGAAAAACCTACACAAGAGTCTCTCTTTCCCTTGCCACTTACCTTTCAATCTTTCACCTGCCATCAATTCTTGGTCAAAAGTCATTACTATTTGATGTGTTAGCAGGGAAAATTAATTACTCACTGGGCTGCCAATCTAAACTTTGAGTGTTTTCCACTCCTTTCTTACAAAGAGTGTCGACCAACACCAAATCTTACAACTTAATTATGTGCTCCATATATAGTCCGCACAAGTAAATCTCCACCCTTAATTTTTTTCGAAGATCAGGAAAAAAAATTCAAACTTGAATTCAAAAGAAAAAAAAATCTATTTGGCATGCTTCGTGTGCCCATTTAGCAATGAAGTGTGCTGAAGTTGCACCTGTATTTCACTAGCAAAAGCATAAAAAATTATGATTTTGTTGTGATGCAACAAACTGCGAAGCACCATGTTGCCTTCAAAGTAAGAGAATTCTCCTGTGGATAAAAAACTTGGTGTTTCGGTGACGGAATGGTGGTTGTTTCCAGTGATCTAGGGGTAAAACAGTCGGGTTTCTGGTTTTTTTTGGGTGATCTCGGTTTTTCTACTACCAAACTGATAGTAGAAAAAAAGAGAAAACTAGTTTTTTATACACATCAAATACGCGATTATAGATATCAATTTTGTTATATATATCCTTGAACAGAGACGCGATAAATGGTAATTACGTGCTTGAAAGAAAAGCTAGCGATTAATAATCATATATTTTCTCAAATTGTGTTGTTTTCCGAATATTTTCTTAACATTTGATCATTTTTTTTAAGAAAAATTACTGTTGAAAAAATTCTGAAGAAAGCAGAATTCTCAACTTTCAAGACAGTTTATGAGGTCATGAAGACCAAAATTTTGGATAAGAGGTGGGGTCTGCTCTCTTTGGCGGCAGAAATTATCCTACAAACTGACTCCATGCATACGTAACAAAATATCGCCACTAATCAAACCGGTAAGAATAAGATTCACTGGCCTGCCTCACTGTCAAGCTCAAGGTCAAATCTATTAATATATACACACACTTGCTTGTTTTCTCCCCCCCAACATCGTCTGCTACTTGTGCTGTGGACTGGTTATGGGACCTACAATGTAATCCAAAGATGATTGGGGAGTGTTGTTCACTCCTGTGAAGAGAGAGTGGTGATGAGCAAACACAAATCACATTGATTTTGCTTTGAATGAATTTGTTCTCTTTTTTTTTCACTTGAAGTTTGCATTAAGAATGGCATGGTTTTTTCTACACATCAAAACTTGAATTGCTTTGATTGCTTTCTCATATGGGGTCGGGTACTCTTTAAAGATTGCCCACTTGAAGACTCAATCTCTTTAACTCTCTTTCTTTCCCTCTCTCTCCCTCCCTCTCTCTCTCTCTCTCAAGGACTTGTAGTATATAAATGCATGGCCAGGCCAGCTCTATAGCTCCATTGCTAGCTTCTCAACAATGTTCTCAGTTTTCCAGAGTTATGGTGAATGAAGAAAGACGAAGGCCGTATGCGCGGTTTACAATTGGGTGTGTAGCTCTTGCTGGAGAAGCAGGGCACGTGCAAGCTCTCTCTTCAAGCTTTTCTTGCACGTGCTCCCCTTCTCCAACATGGGTTTCTCACCTTTCCTCGTCTCTTTTCCTTGCATCATCCAGCTTGCACAGACAAATGTAGCTTGGTGATATGGTAATGGTAAGCCAAAATGCTGACTTCATCTTTCTACTTTTTTTCCCATTAGTTAATGATACCTTGCTCCTTGCCTACCTAATCTTACAACATATATATAAAGTAATATATATATATATATATATACTGTTGAGTATTCTTGTAAGTGAAGTGTTTGCTTCAAAGAGAGAGTTTGGGGGCATACGGAGGAGGAGTAGGAAGGCAGTTATTGAAAAAACACAGAACCTGAGGACCCCAACATATTATTAAAATCACTGTATCAGTGTGGCTCAAGGTTTAATCCTAGCTAGCTAGACACATGGACTGTTAATGTCATGCATGCCAAAATCTTGGAAAAACGTTAACAGATGAACCTCAAAATTAAAGAATATTTACTCAAAATTAAAGAATATTTACCCGGAGATCATCAAGTGCTTCTAGTAATCAATCAATCTGTTGATCAACGACTCATGAAATTATTTGAAATTAAATCATAGTTAAATTGATTAAATAAAATAAAATATATAAGACTGAATATATTAAAAATGTTATTTTAAGATAGTTGAAATGAAAACGCAGTTAAATTAATTAAATAAAAAAATATTATGTAAAGATGAACATATTAAAAATATTATTTTAAAATAAATAATATTTTTTATAAAATAAAGCTTATTTATATAAAATAAAAAAAATCTTCAAAATTTAAATACAAACAAACTAATTTTTATAGAAAAATCTATTAAAAAAAAAGGCTTTCAAAACTTATAATATAAGTTACGAAACCAAAAACAATTAATAGAAAATAAATTAAAAATAACCACAAAATCAAGTTTTTATATAAAATTATAAAAAAAATGAGTTAAAAAATTCAAACCACGTTAAATTTTTAAATTTGTGGCTTGTATTACTAGATTAGAAGCATCATAAAAGCAAAAACCTATTAAACCTAATCTTCGATAAATCACATATTAAATGATAAAATCAAGAAAAAAATCAAATCACATAAAAAATTATAATTAAAGAATAAAAATCAAAATCAAAATTAAAAATAAATTAGAGGGCATGAAGAGGGTTAAGTTGAAAAAAAAATTTAACAAAAAAATAAATAAAACGAATGAGGGTTGCATTGAAAAAAATAAAATAACATAAATTTTAATTGAATAATAAAATTAAAAACTTATAAAAAATTAAAAAAAAAAGAGCCAATAAAAAAATCTAAAATAAAAAAATAAGAAATGAATTGAAAAAAATAATTTAAGATAAATTATAATTTAAAAAATAAATTGAAAATATAAAATATTTTTATAAAAAGATCAAAGATAAAAATAAATAATAAAATACATAAGAACTATAATTAAAAAACTAAAAAAAAAGGATAAACATGTACTTAAAAAAAAAAACTTATAGGCAACAAATCGCTTATTATCTGCCTCCATATATATAACAATAAAAAAACATAATAATACTTTAAAAAAGGACAATAATATCTTTTAATGTATATTTTTTTGTCTTTTTTAAAAATAAAAATATATTTTTATTTTATTTAAAGAAGTCAAAAATCAACAACTATAATTTTATTATCTCAAGGATAAATAAGTAATATTATGATTTTTTAAAAGACAAAATAATCATCCGTCGATACTTTTAAAATCTATTGGTAATAGAGGTAAATAATTTTTTTATCATGTAAAAAACTTGAAAAAAATTAAAATAACCATAAATAATCTTGTAATAATCAATGATTCACAGCAAAAAACTCACTCCTTATATATTTTCTGTTAATGAGACATAAATTCCTCTTTCTTTCTATTTCATGATTCAAAGCAACCATTGTTTCAGTACATTTTATTTATTTGTAATTGAGTTATATAAGTAAATACATCTTATTATTTACTTTTTTTTTCATAATAATATAAAAAAGTTCAATAATCATTAACTGAAGTAACCATGGCAGTCAAATCTTGAAATCTGAGGGAAGTGGAGGTTTCACTTTACCCTAGAAAGATGGGGGTGTTTGTTTGTTTCTTTCCTCTCTTTTGTGCAAGCAAAGCAAGAGGTTTTCGAAACTTTGATAGGCCATATGGGGTGTTGGAAATTGAAATGGAAAGATGGGGGACAAGGAGGGCAGTGCCAAATCAAGGAACCTTAAAATTCAAGCAATGGTTGTCGTCATTAACGACAGGTAGGAATATATCTGTGGGTCTTTGGACACGCAATGCACGAATCTCTAGACTTCAAAAACTTGCTCTGATCAAATGATTATGTCACTATCTAGGATATGTTCATGTGCATGTACTGTTGTCTGAATAACAGGTGTACACAGCTTGTGATAGCATGGAAAAACACCCAATTATCTAACAAGTTTGTTCTTTACCAAGGCTTAAGGAGTAGTTCTTTCCCCTAACCTTTTCCTGTTGTTTTCTTCTAACTTTGGTCCATTTGCCACAAGGAATGGCGTTTTAATTTGTGAAGCTCCAAATTTGTAGTTTATATTATCAAATTGTCTTCAGCAAAAAAAGGATTGTGCAAGGAATTGATTGTCTATGAGGGTTCATAAAGGCAGCCATGTCCATCATGACTGCTCCATCTGGACATGCGTGACCAGTAAGGGCAAACCCTAGACGGCCTAGATGGAGAGATGACAACACGAGTGATTTTACTGTGCCACTGCGGTATTGAATTACTTGTCTGTTATGCTCCATGTATGTTGCTGTGGATGCCCCCTGACACCTTGATTCTCTATCTAGATGTCTCTGCCGTCACTCTTAACCTAATATTTGTTACAGTGAATAATAGAGAGTTAGAATAGTTTTTTTTCCTTGATTTATTGCAGAGGAAAATGCATGCTCCATGGATGTTATAGTTGCTCATTTTCTTTCCATGAGTCTTTAACCAGCCGTTTGTTATGCTTAAACAAGGACACACATCCCTTCACAGAGTAAAAATTAATCCCGCTCACTCATATATAGACATTATAGCGCTTACTAGAGCACGATTCAAGATTCACCCAAGAACAGAAAAATGGCAAACGATCAGAGCTTCATGTTAGAGCAAACCAGGATTGCTGAAATCTTGATCCTGGTTGCTGATTTCAAAGTGCTAGCAGCGGTTACTCTCTCGGTGACATTTGCTGTGTACCTTTCATTCAATTCCAAGCATGTTCATCTTGTTGACTTCATGTGCTACAAGGCACCAAACACTCTCCGAGTTCCCCTTTCCTTCTTGATAGAAAATGTAGAAAGATGGGTAAGTTTGACAGCATAACAATCGAGTTTCAAACCAAAATCAGTGAAAGATCGGGTATTGGCAACGAAACCTTCTTGCCCACGGGAGTCCACGAATTTCCATGTGATCCTTCCTTGAGTTCTACTATTGAAGAAGTGGAAATGGTGCTCTTCACAATAGTCCAAGACCTATTCACCAAGCACAGGATTGATCCGAAAAGCGTTGACATTATCATCACAAATTGCAGTCTCGTATGTCCCCCTCCATCTTTAGCCACAATGATGATCAATAAATTTGGATTTGGAAGCAATATAAGGAGCTTCAATCTTTCTGGGATGGGCTGCGGTGCTGGCCTTCTGTCAATTTCGCTAGCTCGAGACCTCGTCAGAGTGCACAACAACTCTTCGGCTCTAGTCCTCAGCATGGAATCAGTGAGTTCCAACATGTACCATGGACAAGTCAAGTCTATGCTACTCGCAACCTGCTTGTTTCGAATGGGAGGTGCTGCGATTTTACTATCAAATCGCATAAGTGACAGACAGATTGCTAAATATGAACTCCAATATCTGGTTAGGACTCATCTTGGATCTAAGGATAATTCATACAAATGTGATGTCCAGGAAGCAGATGATGAAGGGTACACCGGAGTATCATTGTCAAGATCCATCCCGCAAGTAGCCGGAGAAGCACTGAAAACTAACATGACAACATTAGCTGCACTTGTGCTGCCATACTCTGAGCTAATCCAGTATGGTCTATCAAATATGTGGAGGAAAGTTTGGCCTCCTGCAAAGAAGAGAGGTTCCTATATTCCAGACTTCAAGAAGGCCTTTGATCACTTTTGCATTCATGCTGATTGGAGCTATAAAGGAGTTCCTTAAGTTGAAAGATAGGGATGTGGAGGCATCAAACATGACAATTTATAGGTTTGGTAACACATCTTCTTCATCAACTTGGTACTCACTGAGCTATCTTGAAGCAAAAGGTAGGGTAAGACAGGGTGACAGGGTTTGGCAACTGTCATTTGGGAGTGGATTTAAATGTAATAGTGCAGTTTGGAAGTGCATTTCCAAGATCAAACCAGATAATTTGAATGTTTGGTCAGACAGGATCGACCAGTATCCAGTGGAAGTGCCAGCGGTAATGGATCATTGATGTGAGTTTAACATGATCGACAGAGCTCAAGATGATCAATAAACTTGTAAATTTGTACTGGAAGCTTGTTAAATAAATATAAATTTCTGGAAACTACAATTTCACATGGATAGCAACTCGTAATCCATGAAGAACTAACAAAATCAGCATGGTTTCTTTCTCATTGTTGTTTCAGAAGCTCAGAAGTCCTCCTCTGTACGTTCTTATATTGCAAGCCAAATACTCAAATTCAAGTCCATATAACATCTAGGAAAATATCCAAATTTTCTTAAAGTTTTGGCGTCACAATCAGACAGCTATTATGTAAGACCAGGCAGATAAATCAAAACCTTGAAGCATAAGATGACTACATGTAAGAACATTCGACATTTAAATTTAAAGATTTGACAAAGGGAAACAGGACAAAGATGGCATAAAGAATCCTACCTTAACAGGGATAATGCTTAGCCACACATTTCTTCACCCGTCTCCTTTACTTAATAAACCTTTGAACTCAACGAGAATACGTAGGCATAAAAAATGATGAATATACTATTGTGATCTTTATAATTTCCTCCTCCATGTTAACTACTCTTTCATCCAAAACATTCTTGAGGCCTTAGACAACTCTAAATCCAAGGTCCAAGGAGTTAACAGCACAAGTAATGCTTCCAACAAGCCCCTCGTTGTAGATGCCACCACATGCAATGCCTAGATTGCTGAGCATAAACAATAACAAAAAGAATTTAATATTGTTACTCATTGTGTTATATTTAAAGTTTTCTATAATCATGCCACCTCTATTTATTGATTGAAGATAGAAAGTTAGATTAGGTCAAGTTAGCTTGTCTCGGGTGGAGTTTGGCCTAGCTTTTAAGTAGGTGGTTGAATTTAAAATGGGAATGGTTGCAAGAGAGTGCAGACTGAGGAAGACATATATTGCTCTCTAATGGCGGGAACTAAGCAAGAGAAACCCAACACTCCACTTCTGCATCGATCAATGCAAACACAAAAGAGTTCAAGAGTTGGACTTAAATCCATGCAAGCAAATAAAACAATCCCCAAAAAACAAAAGAAAGGACTTTGAAACCCATCCCATTTCTGAAAACTCGAGATAAACTAACCCAGAAGGCCAAATTATCACTACATGCGAGGGCATTAAGCTAACCAAGAAAACAACTCCTGTCTATAGGATCTCAATTCAACAGCATCATTCAATTTTATTGATCTCATCTGAAAGTAACAGCAACTAAAAACAAGAAATGAAACTAAAGAGACTGAAAGAACAACCAAATAAACACTATCAAATTCTACAAGGCAAAGACCAAGCAACTTGAAAAATAAAACCCATCAAGAGAAGTGAAAAACATGGCCAAAAGTTTATAACTTCAAGCAAAATGACAGAAAACAAAGAGTAGTACTAAGAGAGAGAGGGCTTACTTGAATATAATTTAGGTTATTTTATTTTATTTTATTTGGTATCACTTGAATTGCCCCAAAAAACTTGAGATAATTACCCAGATTATCTGTTCTCAGTTTTTTTAAAAAAAAATTGTCCTCCAAATCCAAATTGATTTGAATAATTTGAGTGATTCAGTTTTTCTTTTCTTTTTTATCTTTGCTTGTCCCTGCTGAGAGGCAGGGGAGGAAGAAGAATGTCTCTGGAACAAGGGGTGGAGAGCATTTAAAACCACAATGTCAGTAATTAAGTTTACTGCCACTGCTTTTAACTCAGTGATTTGGTTAGGGCATGGCAGTGACAGCATTCATGCAAACCCAGTTACTAGGTGAAAACACAACAGAACTGTGTTTATCGACAAGTAAACTACAATGACTCGACAGGAGAGCTTCAACAAGGTTTTGCAGCTAATTTGATATCTAACCAATTTTTTCTAGGTGAAAAATACAATTTTGAAAAGCAAATTGTAAAGTTCAGAAGTGAGAATTTTCTCAGCTGTCAACAATTGCTGTTCATTCTGTGCTGTCAATCAAACAATAGGACAACCTTCGAGACACTTCATCTTCAGATTGTTCCATCTAGCCTGAGCTCTATGTAGGTCAGTCTTGAAAGCTCCAACATCTGGATACTCAATTCTCAGTAAATGTATATGAGCAATTAGCACAATGAAAAAAAGTCGTTTGGCCCTCATCTGCTGATCTCATCTGTAGGACAAAAGGATACAAAGGTGATCGATTAGTAATGAAATTGTGAATTTGATGATGATATTGCCAAAGTGATTAGGTGAGGTAGAATACTTGTCTGGTTGAAAATTTAAGCTTTGTGTGGCCGCATTTTTCACATTTCTTATTTATCTGTAAAGAAAAATACTTCATGTTAGGACTACCAGCAAATCAAGCTGAAGGCAGCCTGAAAATCAATTTCTGTCCAAAGTATTTACCTCCATGTCTTTCACTTCCATCTTTCCTTCAAAATGTGAGATGCCTAGATCCCTCCTCATATCCTGCACCAAAAGACACACAAGGACAACTGACTTCACACTTTGAATTACCATGCATGATGAAAATGCCAAATACATTTTCTCGAATATGTATAATCCACAGAAGAATAGAGATAATTAAATTGAAAGTAACCATAGGAATTCAAAGAGAGCATCCTACTTCGAAATTCTATAAGTTGCACCTGGTATAACTTGTTGAAGGAAAAAAAAAACAAAAGGAAAATAAAGAGATGGACAAGCTTGGATGCATATGCTTCCATATATGACCTGCAAATGCACATTAATGAAAACTCTATGACATTTGACACCCTTAGTTTTCAAATTAATAATATTTACAAGTGCCTTGATCTACTTTAACATTGAGAGATCATTTTCGACAAAAAGATCTAAGAAACCAGATTCATAAAACCATTCTTCATATGTTCCCCCAGCATTACAGAGTGACAGTTAAACTTGATACTTTATATCCTGCCATATCCAATTTGCAAGAGAAAATAAAAGGGGAAAGAAAAAAGATTGCATGGTAACTCGAGAAAAACTTCATAACTCAACAGGTCAGTTCAGGCATACCTCAGAGCTGACTTGATAACTTATTTCTCTTTCACTTAGATCTGAAGACAGTGGCAGTAAATTCAGTTAGGTAGATTGTCAAGAAAAGGTAACATAATATAGAGGGATTTCATGATGGATATTACACAACAATTTACAATTTGCAAGGCAGTACCGTCATGCAAGATATTAAACTATACAAGATTACCCCCAAGATTCACTTCAGCATTGAAATTAATCTCATGACAGCAGAAAAGGAACAGCCAGTGTTAGACAGAGAGAGAATTGTTATAGACAATTTCAAGACGTAGCATTTCAGTTTGACATTGAACACGTATACAAACCAAGTAAAACATGCGCATGGAGACCACCTACCCACCAAGCACAGATAAACAGGAAACGGAAAACTTTGGGCACGGAAAAAGGCAAACATTAGTTGTTGCAAATTATAAAGCTTGTGAGACAAAAATTAACTAACAACTAAAAGAAACACATGATCCAGAATAACTACAGTGTATAGATTTGTTAATGAGGAACCTGCACAGATAACACTTCTGCTCTTACATTAGCATTGTATAAAATAAGCTGGTCTGAGCCTTGCAAGAGAAAAAGATTGACAAGCATTATCAATGTGCAATTTATTACTTTCCTTTGACCAAGCTTTTGAAAATTTTCAGAACTCACTAAATCCAGATTACAGTGAAAGAAACACCTTGTTAGCTGGATGAACAAACATAAAGAGTTTGTCTGGTCACAGTGCTGATTGGTGAGGCATTGTGGCGAACAATTTCAGAATTATCATCTGTGAAGCATAGATTATTGTATAGAAATTGACCAGGAATATTCTATCTCTCATTTGGGAAACATCAAAAACCAACCATGCGTTGAATTTTTTATTTCGGTGTGTAACAGTAAGAAAAGAGGCAGCGCTCCAAGACAAGAAAAGAGGGAAGGAAAAAGAGAAGATATAATCCAAATACCAGCGATACTATAAAATCTACTAAGGCATTAAGCATACACGCTGGCTGTTGCTACTTTGAACTAAATAGATGATCATGAGCCATACCTTTTGCACTTTTCTTAAATTTGCACAAAGGACATTCAACATGTTCCTTTGAATATAAAAACATCATCGTTCCACATAAATCACAGAACATGAAATCACCTCCTCGAGCATGTGCCATCTCAATGCTCCTTCTATCAGCTGCTTTCTACAGCCAAAGAAACTAAAAATCACCAAATACCATCATGTTCCCTTGTTTTCAATCTAAAAACATATTAAATAAAAAAAAATTCGAAGCTCCAAAAGCATGCTAAACACTTGATAAAATCCGTTGTTTACATCAAAATCAAATCTTCAAATATATAAAGAAGCACGATTTAGAGTTAAGACAGGAAAACCATAAACATAATGTCAATTTAAAGTCCACATATCAAGAGTTAAGACAGGAAAATCATAAACATAATGTCAATTTAAAGTCCACATATCAAGTTAAGGCATCAAAAACGCTATTACTACCAAAAAAAATCAATTTCAAGCTGAATCTAATAAAACCTTTACACTTGTTTTACTTTCTATAAAGCCAACGCATACGTGTTATATATATAATGAAAAACCCAAAATCTTGGCAGATAATTCTTACAAATCCATAAAGCCGTCATCGTAACAGACGAAACATCAAACACCACATGGAAAGGAAAGAAACTGGGTGTAGGGAAAAGAGATCACCTTTTTCGAGCTCAACCGAACTGAGAGGAAAAGCAGGATCGAGCGGAGAAGGAGACCCTCACTCTGCGCTGGATTTCAAGCAAGTGGAAGGAGGAGGAAGCGAGCGTGGGGAAACAAAGGTGAGGTCACAAAACCCTCTGCCTCGAGGGTTTTACTCTCCCTAATTTTTCTGCTAAACTATATTTTAGTCCTTTAAGATTCACATGTGCTCTCCTTTGATTCTTGTAGTTTCAATGTTACCAATATCAGTGAAGAGTGCTTGGCAATTGTTTGATTTAATAATTTTGCATGGGTAGCTACTTGGATCTTTAGTTTTTCATTTCATTCCTTTTTTTTTCCTTTAATTAATCTTCACCAATATCTGAAAAAATCTCAATAAATTTTACCTGCAATTGCTTCAATCATTGTTCTGTTGATTCTAGCAGAGACCTTAAATGATAGAGGCTCATGAAACTTCGAAGACAGCTTGGCAAAGCTCACCTCTTTTCTATGTTGTATCATGCTCTCTTGGTGTAAAGTAAAATAAAGCCTGAAATGCATTTATTTATTTTTTTCATCATCATGTAAGATAATTTATGGAATAATCAATCCATTTTTCCTTACAAAGCAAGTGATATCTCCTATTGGACCACGTGTCTTGAAATGGAGACCATAAATCCTCACGCGCCAACATGTTTTCTAGTATTTCAAGAGGGGGTAAAAATAAAAATAAAGCATTTAGGTTGAAAGTGAGTTATAAAAACATTAATCATATTAATTTAAATTTGTATTTTTTATATTTTTTTATAGTTTTGATGTATTAATATAAAATATTTTAAAAAATAAAAAATAAAATTTTAATTAAAAAGCATTTAAAAAAAAACACGCTACACCACCTTACAAATACAACAAAATATGACAATCTAATAAAATAAAATAAAACAAGGTTTAAAACCAACAAAGATTTGATGGCTCGTTGATTTGATTTTATTTTCAAATTTATTATGATTTTTCTTTAATTCCCTTCATTCCACATCTAATTCCACCCACATGTTATAGTTTTTTTTTCATTATTTAACAGGATTTTAATCCTCAAATACTAATTATTTTTTGCTTTTGAGAATTCAAATATTAAACATTGATTTTAATTTCGAAAATATAGACTTTATTAAACAATCCATGGCCGATAATTGAGGAAATGGTAAGCTTTGACGAGACAAAAGTTACGGGGCCTGTGGGTCTATGAGATTCGTGAACAAATGCTACAATCAACTCAATTTGTAACGTATCCTTCACTCGTAATTGCCATACCTAATTAAGGGATTTATCTAGGAAACGTATAGATTATTTAATTACTGGTTGAACATGTGAAATATTTTTATTAGAATAATATTTTAATTTTTTTAATATTAGCCTGATTAAATTTAAATTAATTTTTATAAGCTCAACTGAGTCATTGAAAATTTAATTATATCAATCAGGTTTTATGATAACAATGTTTTGCTTGTTTTAATTAGAAATTCAATTTGGATTAAATTTTAAATTTTGTGTTTTTAAAATTAATTCATTGGATTATGATTAGATATTTTCTACATACTTCACAGGCTTCATTGACCGGCTCATTTAGTGGGGGAAAAAAAAGATATAAAAAAATAATAAATACATAATTTAAACAGTAAATAACGCATATTTGACCTCACGCTCGAGTGATGGAGAAAGGAGGAGACCACCACTTATTATCGGGTAAACTTAGTTTTCTAGTGTTTGATAAAGTCCAACAAGCTCCCCATCAAAGCACCCCACGACATGACACGAGTAGGGCTCGATCAATTGACATGCCTGTATAATGGATATTTTCAGGCACTGTGATTGCGCTGTCGTTTATGATTTTAGATGTTTTTAAAAATAATTTTTTATTTAAAAATATACTAAAATAATTTTTATAATATCATCACATTAAAAATATTTAAAAAAAACTAAAGAGACAACAATTTAATATATTTTTATATAAAAAATATCCTTTAAAAACAATCAAAAACAATTTCAAAAAGACTCGTGAATATTTTTTTATCATCGTGTCCGGTATAAAGAATACAACTTATCGTGATATACATGTTTGTCTTTTCACTTTATAATTTGCAAAGATAGCATTGTGATGAATCCATGCAGGCTTTTTCTTTTTAATATTTATGATTTTATTTCCCTTTAATCCAAGATATTTGATAAAGTTATAACTCCATTTGCTTCACGTAAAATCAATCTTTATAATAAGGTGAGATGCATTTTTATTTTTTTAAACATCCTCGTTGAAAATGCATTCCATTTATTTTATATACACACCAATTATAAGTCAGATTTATTTTTTTTAACATAACAAAAATATTTATATCATGTAAAATTATTTTATATTATTATTATACATGACCCAACTCTATCTATTTAATTTTTTACATAGTCCAGTTTTAAAATCAAACTATATAAAAATTACCTTAATATAGCTTAATTAACTTGACTAATTAAAAAATAATTCACATAAATACGTGAGAATATGATTGAGAAATAAACAATGAAATTAATAAAAAAAATCTATTAACCCAATTTCTTATCTAATCTCGACTTTGGGTTGTTTTAACGTTTTTTTATTCAAGAGAATCTTATCTTTTAAAAAGTATATTCTATAAGTTCACATGAGTAAATAAAACTTTAATTGTTCTAAATTCTTACAAATAATATGCACTCTGACTCGAGATTTGCTATGTATATTTTAAACCCTTTATCATTACGTCATGTTCCTTAGAGACTATCTTAACATGATTTAATAAATTTAATGGATTCAAAAACAAAATGTATTAGTAAAAAATAAATACAAGGAATTAATTAAAAAAACAAAGTTGACAAAGAAAAAAATATTCACACCCAACTTCTTACCCAAATTAAGTTTTAAAATTATTATGATATGATTCAATTAATTTGAAACATCCAATAACAATCCAAGTAACTGTTTGAAGAGATTAAAAATAGAATCAAGAAAGATAAAATTGAGACAAAGAATAAGATAAAAATACAGAAGGAGTAAATAAAAAAGAAGAAGAATAATAATGTGCAAAAATGACTCTCGGTTAAAAACATCATTTTTTAAGTATAAGGAGTAACATATATCGAAAATTTAAGAAAGCATTAAAATAAAGAGAAGGATGTAAAGAGTATGATTTAAGTGGGAAACGAACTTCCTTTCTCATGCATTTTCAATTTTAAATTGAAAATTAGATGAATACAATAAGTGGGGTAGTATTTTAAAGCGGTTTTTAAACTGTTTTGATATAAAAAAAAATATTAAACTAGTATTTAAAAAAAATCCATGATTTTGATGTATTACTGATAAGAATTAAAAAATATATATAATTTTTAAATTAAAAAATTATTTTTACAAAAATATCACATATCATAATTTTATAACATACAACTAGAAAACACATTACATCATGCATCATATACCAAACTAGAAACATATAACTTTGCTGATTAGTTAAATTCTAACAAAGTATTTTTGTTTTTATAAAACATTTATGTTAGCCTCGGTAATCGGTATATTATAAATAAATAATTTTTATTATCATGTTTTACGTCACATCCTAATTACTGTAATTACAATATATTTCCTTCTCTATAATTCTCATTAAAATCTAAATCCAAAATAACAGCAACATGAGAGACAAATCAAGTTATCACTTATCCAATATTTTAAGAATACATTTTTAATTTTTTAATTATAATATTTTCCAACCTTGAATTTTTATTTACAAATATAGTTGTTAAATTCAATTTATAGTCGATATAAGTAGATAATTAAATCATCATTCATCAAATTAACTTTTAAAATCAATATATTTATAAAGTTATTTTTTAAAGAAAAGATAAAAAAGAAAAATCACAAAAATTATTTTTTTTGCCCAATCAAAATTTGTTTGGCTTATGACATAATAATAATATATATATATATTTTCCTTGGCGTGAAAACTTTTGAAATTCTAATCATTCCCACAAAAATAAAAAAAAGCTTCTTCTCCTATCACGTCAAAACTCCGATTCAACTTATCGAAAGGCGGCTAAAGAATCTTCAGTGGCAATACGGTAATAAAATCCAGTACCAACCCCAAGAATTATAAATTTGGACAAGGCTAAGGAAATTTTCGTATTTCTAATGTAGATAATGACCTCCCATCACGTGACACGCCACGTCTCACCTCTTTCCTTTAGATCTCCGGCATCCGGGCCCCACATTTCGCATCGATCTTATCTTCGCAAACGTGTCCAATCCATTCATTTGCCACTTCACTTCATCGCTTCTTGATCCAAATCAACGGTCCAGATATAACCAGACTAGCTCGACCCTTAACCAGACTGGCTTGAACCTTAACGCCCCACTTCCTCTTTAAATGCTGCTCTCCTCTCCCTAAGTTCACTCCCTTTATCCGCTGCTAGCCTAAAACTACGCCGTATTTGTAAACGGTCGGTGTCTCTTTCCTCAAATTTCGTCGTTTTTTTTTTCTTTTTCTAACGTGCGCCATGAGTCTTCTTGATCATCTCTGGGACGACACCGTTGCTGGTCCTCTTCCGGACAACGGCCTCGGGAAGCTCCGGAAGAAACCGAGCTACGGCCTCCGGCCAAACTCCGGCAAGGGTACGCAAACCAATTCTTGCCACGACGATCATGAACCATAATAAAATGATGAAATCAACTTATCCGAGTCGGACGGTTCCTGTAAATAAGAGAATTGGAATAATATTTTTTTTTTCCTTTGCACGCCGTAAAGAAGATTCGAATCTCATCACAATCTAATTTTGATTTTTTAAATAATCTTTTTTGTTATGAATAGAATCTGATGGTAGTGGTGGTAGCGTGATGAGGTCGTACGGTGGTGAAGCGACGACGGAGGAGACGAAGAAAGTGACAAGGAGTATCATGATAGTAAGACCACCGGGATACCAGAATAACGGCTCCTCTGCCACTCCCCCGGCGTCACCAGCTGGTTCTTCTCCTCCGCTGTCTCCTTTCTCTGGTAAGACAATAATGCCCTTCGGTTTTTCCTTCTCTCCTAAAAAAGCGGAGAATAAGGGTAGTTTTGTCATTTACGGGGTTAAGTGTACTACGGTGATTGTTTAATTTGGTGGGGTGATGCAAGTTGTGTGTTTGTTTGCTTGATTGCCGTTTTAGATAATGACATTCATGTTGCCGTTTTAGATAATGACATTCATGTCCCTTTCAACGTTCAACTATGCATGAGATGCTATTGATCAATGCCCTACATTAATAATTTTGATATTAATGTTACTAATTTTTAACTTGGCATCCGCATTTTATTTAGGGTTTGGTTGGCATATCACATCAAGATTACGTGTGATGGATAATGGTAGGTAGACATTTTTTTTGTGGACTATAATAATATATAGTACAGTTCATTTTTGATGAATATCATATGTTCATGATGAAGTTAAAATGAAACTATTTGCTAGTCAATCTAGGTATCATCACTTGGATTAGGTGAAATATATATATTTTTTAATACGATTAATTTAGTTAAGAACTAGTAGCCTTTAATTGACAACGTCAACATGATCTTACAAAGAAATGAAAACTATCAATAACTAATGGGATGTCACTACTGAATGAAACACAGGACGTGGGATGTTTCTGAAGTTTGGGATGTTACTGGTTTTAGTTCGAACACAATAAGATTAATTACTCTGTAAAAAGTTGGTGCAAGGCATCCCATATTGCCACATTATGATAATTGCTACTTCCATAATTCTATTGATTTTCTATGCTTTGCTGGTGGGAATATATATATATATATATATTGTTGAGGATAGTTTAATTGATTCTGTGGTGCTTGGTAGCCTGTTGTTGTCTCATTAATTGCTCTCTATAGAAGTCTAGCTAGCCACATGGTTTCGTTACCTACCTTGCACGTTCTTTTGTTACCTACCAGACTGATAATGTGGGAGAAGTGAGGATGAGTGAACCTGGTGGTCACTGACTTCAACCGATTGTATTTTGTTAAGGAAGCAGAGAGTCCTTTCGGTTTCGAAGAAGGTCTACGTCGGACGCATACGAGAAGACAACCGAGATTGGACCCAGAATTCCTACTTCTCCTTACGGCGAATGATATATGAGCCTTTTACATCTTCTCCGGCATCTCCACGTATTCTCTCACCTCTCTACGTCCTGTTTGTTTGGGTTTGTAGTGAAGTAGTATATCCAAGTGCGTGTTTTTGTGTAGTTGATAAAACTGCTGCGTTTCGAACCTTATGCCTTCGTGTTGATGGCCAGTGAAACTGGTGGTGAGTTGTAATATATATGTAGAGTTGGTATTCCACGATGCAGCTTCTCGTTGTCTATCTGTATTTGTAGCTCTTCTCATTTTCGTCCTTTGCTTGCCCTTTCTGTGTGAGTGGGAGCTAGCAGCGTTATGGTGCAAGTCTAGACGGTAAGTGTTTGATAAAGTAAAAGCCAATAAATGTAGTAGTTGAGGCTGCTATGGTGAGAGTGAGCATCAAGGATGGATGGTGGGCTTTCAGCTTGGTGGCTCTGATGAAATGATAACTTGTTATTGCTTTCCTTCTAATTTGATAAGAGGGGCATGATAAGTATCATGTTGTCAACGCTAAAGTGGGGCTTGGCTCTGAATCAAGTGGAGGGACCACGACACTCTTAGTGGCTTTATTTGTTGTTGAAGAGCCATCAGGTTGGAAGAAATCAATTTGGACGATATATATATATATATATATATATATATATATATATATAAACTATTTTGGAGGGAAAGGAGAATTGAGGGCTTGACTGAGTAGTATAAAGGTTCATTTTTAACTATATTATCTTGTGCTCGAATTTAAAAGAAGTTGCAAGAAAAAAAATCTTAAAAAAACATCTATTTGGATAGGATTTCTGTATAAAATCAAATTAGGCAAATCTAAAATGTCCGTGCATAAAACAAATTAACAGAGAACAATCAGTGAAGTTATGCTTTTGTCTTAAATTTGTGTTTTCATGGATAATCTATCAATGTAGGATTGTAAAGTGGCATCTCCATCTTTTTTTGTGTTTTAAAAATTAAATTAATTGAATACATTTAGAAGCCAAAAAAAAAAAACTTAAAGTGCAATTTAGGGACATTCTTGGGTTTCACATTATAAGCATGTATTCTCGAAGCATGGCAACATGAGTCTATAATTAAGATTAATTTGATCTTTTAATAAGTAAAATAAAAAACTCAAAAAGCGGTTACTCCGCCACTTACAAGTGTGAATGACTGCAGGTCAAAATCATTATTTTTATGCACCATTCAATTCTTCTGTGCATTTTCTTTCTCGCTAGGTGTCAGGTGCATGGGGTTTGACAGCAGTTTAATTTTTATTTCTTTTTATTTTTCTCTCATCTGCCTCGATTTACGTGTTGCATCTAAAAAAATCAGGTAGTTTTTCAATTTATTCTTCCGAATGTAGTTGTATTTTTTTTTAATTTTAGTTATTTTATTTAAAAAAATCTTGAATTAAATTTTTTTTTCTAATTTTATCTTTCATCAATTTTCAATATCTCAGATTTAATTCTTAATTTTTTAATTATTATTATTTATTTGAAATAATTTATATAATTATTTTTTATGTGATTTCATCTATATTTATTTTTTATTAAATTTAATTTTTATTTTTCAATAGAATTTTTTAACCTTTGAATTTGAAAGATATTATATTTTTACAACTAGACTTGGTAAATTTAAGGTAAATACTCGCATTCTTTTCTAATTGATAAATCTAATATATAAATTATATCTTTATTATGATTAAAGAGAAATATATAATAAAATTAAGTATTTTGGAAAATAAAAATAATTAAATAATTTTTATATGTGTTTTAAAACATTTGAAAATTAAAAAAATTATTTCTTATGATAAGAAGATTTAAATATAAAAATTTCTTGATCACGCGACCAAGTAACTCGTAAAAACGATGCAAAACTCTAAAAAAAAATCAATAAGGCTTGATAAGAATGTGATGATGAAAGTCCTTTTCAAGACACAGTATTATTAGAAAAAGAAACCATTATCTAATGAAAATAAATTCACAAAAGGAGAGTATAAAAAATATACCACAAGGTTAGTTATACCTTGTTAAATATAAAATCTATAAGTAAAAAAAAAAAAAACAAAATTTATATAGCATGTTCTAATTTATATCGCAAGATTGGAATCTGAAAAAGAGTACTTGGGTTCTCCCAATAACAAAAAAGTGTATCATGTCTGAATCTAACTAGGGTTCGTGGTGGTGGAGGAACTGGATCGGAAAAGAAAAAGGAATTCTAGTTGTAAGATATCTAAAGAAACTGTCGCTGGAATTGAGATCTCATTCAAAGAGAAAGATATCAAATATCTAGAGTTTCTTTTTGTATATTACATGGATGATCCAATCCGCAAGGACGACATAGAATAATGTCAAAAAACTTTGGGCAAATTTTTAGTTTGAACTAACTATGAAATTAAAAATTATAATTGTTGTTGTAAATCTAGATAATAAGTATAATTACATTATAATTCAAATTTTCCTAATCAACTCTTTCTTGGATCATATTACGTGAGATTCAATCAATTGTAATTTTTTGGATAGTAAAAATTAATGATATTGCTTGTGAGGAATTCATCAATTTATGATCATATAAGAAATAAATTATTCAAAAATAACATAGAGTGTTATATTTGCTAAATAAAAAGTCTTAGTTCATTACCTATCATGCTAAATATAATTGATGGATTTAATTGATAGATTTAAATCTATTGATAATTTTGCTTGTAAAAATAACATGTTATTAAACTCTTAAGCTTTTTTTTTTCATTATAATATTTTTAGTGTATATTAAGTGAGTATTTTTGTAAGTGTTTATTAATAGATACTGTGAGGGCATATTCAGTCGAAAGAATTCATCATAATGTACCAATATAATATTTTTATCAATTTGTTTGTTCATATTTGTTAATTTTATAGAAGTGTTTTTATTATTATTTTTTTGTATGAACAAGTTTTTTTATTGATTTTTTTTAATTTTATTATTTAACATTAAATTGATTAAAAATTAGGTTCTTTCCTTAAGCCCGAATATAAAATTTTATAGATTATGATTTTAAAAGATTAATAGTTTTGGTTAATTTTTCATGTTATTATATTAGATTTGTCTTTTAAACACACGTATATTATTAAATTAACCAAACTTATTAAATTCATTTGATTTAATGACTCAAATTTCATATTTCATGTATTTCTTTAGAATTTCTACCATTGCATTAACTTTTTTTTTTTATTATGAAAAATCTGTCTTAGTCTACGGTATTGCATCAACTATTAATATTGGTTTATTTGAATTATTTTTTAAAATATATTTTTTTTCTCCCTATTTATTATAATTAAGCTTTCTAGTTTTTTTAGGTACGAGTTCTATTATTTTATCATAATTCTATATTTTACATTGTAGGTTTTATAAGGTAACTATAACTACTCCAGGTAATTTTAGTATCTTAATATAATTTTTTTAAAAAATAATGTTTAACGGATCACCATTTAGGTATTTTAAATGTTTTTTTAGCCAATATAAATCAAAATTTTAACTTCATAATATTTTTATATTTTTTTTTAAATTTAAAAAATAATCCAATTCGTGGTGTAGCAGGAGTTAAAAAACAATGTTTATCAAAAGATATGAAAGATTATTCATAATTACTGCATCAAGTATTTATCAAGAAAACCTGCAATTTAAAGACCAATTTGGATTGTTTTATGTTGAATTGAAAAAAAAAAAAATCTACGGATCAAATTGACTTGACAAAATCCTGCCCAAACATAAACATGATTAGGTTACCAATAAATAATTGTCCCCCCCCCCCCCCCCCCCCCCCCCACAAAAACAAAAAAAAAAAAAAAAAAACAAAACACAACAATACCATTTTAATAAAATTATTAATCTAATTTAATACGATGATTCACTGGCTGCCTAATAATCCAATAATCTAGTTTCTTTTTTCTAGCCCACTCTCAAATTAAATTTTGCAACTATTATCTTATTAAGTAGATGTAAAATGTTTATAACGTTTATAAAGTTTATAAAAAAGATTTTCAATTGAAAATACCTTATAATAATATTTATTTATATGTATTTGAAAAATATTTATTTAGATATAAAAATAATTTAAAAAATAAAAGCTACCGAACAAATACGAGTATTCTATACTTATCAGTTATCACATAAAAACCATGCAAGTGACGGAACACTGTGCAGGGAATGTAATCATCTTTGACACATGAAATAATGATACAAATAAATAGTACGAGCCCAATGTGTCTTCGCATGGAAACAAATTTATTCAATTTACACATGAACATGGGCCTTCAACTATCCTCTTTATGGACCAGACTGAATTCAATTTTTTTTTTTTAAATCCAGGCTCAATCCAGCCCATTGAATCCAAATTCATATCAGCCGGGTGTCCTAAAAACCACACAAATTCTTCCATTTTTGTGCGATCATTCACCACCGTTTGTGGAGGAGGTAGTTCCTCTCTCAAATTCTAAGTCAATTCGAAGCTCGAAAAGTAAAAAATGAAGAGAAAATATTGTGGGTCCTTGATTTTTCTGCTTCTTTTTCACTTGCAAATCCATTTCTCCTCTGGTAAAGATTCTTTCTTCGTTAATTCCTTTTCATGGGTTCCTTTATTCTCCAATTTTGTCCCTTGATTTGTTATTTGTGTTGATTTTAGAGAACCCACTTGTAATCTATTGATGTTGGTACAGAAACTCACTTGTTGGGTCCTAGTTTTGGTGTGTGATTTACCATTTAGAAAATTAAAAGATAAGAAATTTTGCTTTCGTTTTGAGACACAGAATTACTGTATTTGAAGCCGAATAGTTGAATAGGTTGTTTAGGCCTTCTGTTTACAGGACACTTGAAAAGTTGGAAACTTGTTTTGTTAAATAATGGGTGATGGTCTTTGTCTGAAAATTTTACTCTCTTTTTTGGTGCAGAAAGTTGCATTTTTATTTGAAAGCCTGCTGTTTACGTGTCCATTGAAATGTATTTGGACTGGTTTGTAAGAAGTGAATTCTATTGAGATAAAATTTGCTGATGAATTAAATTCAGACTCTCATTTCTGTTTTAAAACGAACCTGAGTGCCAGGAATTGGATTTCCCTCAAGAATTGCAGGGTTTGACCATCACAATGGTTCACTTTGTTAATGTAGGAAAAAATGCTAGAGTATGTGTTTCTAAAGGTGGTCGCTTTCCGCCGTATTCATCGGAAGGGAAACCTCCAAAGAAGGTAGGCAAGGGTGCAAGAGATTTGACCCTTTGTAGGCTGTTTAACAAAAAGACTTGTTGCGATGTAGCTCAGACGTATCCTGCCTCCCTGTCTGTTAGGAGGCTGGCTTCAACTGGAGAAGCCAGCCAGGAGTGCTTGCAATTATGGGAATTGTTGGAATGTTCAATTTGTGATCCCCAAATTGGTGTTCAGCCTGGACCTCCTCTTATATGCGCCTCTTTTTGTGACAGAGTCTATCAAGCTTGTGCTAGTGCTTACTTCTCTATGGATGCAAATAAACGGGTGAGAGCAGAATCACCTTTTTTGTCCAGTTTGGATTTTTGAGTTTTCTGGTGTAAGATTTCACCTTTTTTGTCCAGTTTGGATATCAGATTAGCTTACAGTGTTTACATTCATTTGAAATGAGAATTGCATTTGATGTGTTCAATGATTAGTGCTTGCGTAAGGTCTGAGAACTCGTTAGTTCAATTAATGAGTCCATCAACTAACTTTTCTCAAATGTGGTTAAAGAAAATAATATGGTATGTATCATCCTTTATGTTTGCATGGTAGACTAGCATTCTGTTTAGGCCTGTTAAATATCATAACAATTTGAGGGTTCTTAATTTCTCCCACCAGAATGTCTGAGAAAATCAATTTCCTGATTGGATTTCACCTATCAGGTCATAGCACCGTGTGGAGTAAATGACTTTGTTTGTGGACAAGCTGTTGAATGGTTCTCCAATGGCACAGAGCTCTGCCATGCTGCAGGTTTTGCTGTTAAGCTGTCTGATGCATATGTTGGTGTAGAAGAGGTGTCTTGCTATGGTGGTAGAGCCAGTCTTGATTCTATCTCCGATTCATGGAGGTCTCCACAATCCGAGTTTACCCAGAAAGTTGAGAATTTAGGGTTCGTGGAAGATTTACAGCAGTGGGTGCAGGAAATGCAATTTGGTGAAAAAGTTTCTTGGGCAGTAGGAGGTTTAGTTCTCACTGCAGGCCTCTTGTTTATGAGGTTAGACTAATATATTCTTGCCTTTTTACATCTTCAACATCTTCAAGACTCCGTACATAGCTTTTTGGTTTTCACTTTTCAGTCATCATTTTAGTTCCTAAGAAAATAGGATTACTATAGAGATAATGTCCACAATATTCCCTTTCATCTGGCTGAAGTAGTTACACCAAATAAAGATTAAATAAAAGGTTCCTGCTTTCAAAATGGATAACAACCCCTAAAGGAGCCAATGTTACAGAAAATATAGGCTTCATTTTTCATGCTTTTCTTTAAAAATTAGAACACCACTTCTGAGCACCTTAGACCTATCATCCATGTAGGTGACATCTTTGGCTTTTAGCAGTGTGTTGTGTGTATTCAGAAAGCTTAGTGAAGTTCGCTTCCTGTCAAGCACGCGTCAGTAAATACATATTACTTAACAGCATATAGGAGACATCAAATACACTATAGATATCATAATGTGTAACTCATTTTTCTTCATAAATCATCCATGCTATCTTTCTTTTTTCCCCGTGTAATCATGGCTGTGAAGTTGATTGTTTGTTGTCATCATATTAGCACTAGTGAATAATGAAATATTTCATCGTTTGTTTTTTAATATATTTTGCCGACCATGCAGTAAAAGGAAGAGTCATAGTCAGCGCCAAAAGCTTGCAGCTATTCAAAGAGCTGCAATAGCTGCAAGGAGATTGGATGGCCGGATGAGCCAGAATTCTCCTGATAGTTTAGTGAATAGGAAAGGAATTCGAAGATGATATTTTAATTTACAGGTGAGCGATGCTATTAGAATTACTCTTATGTCGTTAATCATCTGTTATTCCATTCTCTCTTGTTAGAAAAAAAAACAATTAAAGAAGCATACATGAGTTCATAGGTTTCTTATAAAAGCTATTGCCACCAGTTTGAGTGAGTGAAACTATTTCCTGAATTTCTTCCCTTCTCTCTTTCTTTCCAAAATCCTGATAAAGAAATTACGGGGCTTGGATAAGTGTTAACGTTCTTGACCAGTTCAGCACGTAACAAATACGATTCAGATAAATATTTCTCTTCATTCTCATTTTCTTCTAAAGAATTTCTTACCACAAACATGCAACTACACGTTTTGCAGATCCATTCTGGAATAAGCTGCCCTGATATCTAGCTGGAAGCTATCAAGAACTTCAACAACACAATCTCAGGATTGACTGATGTATATTTGTTAAGCTTCGATGATTGGGGTGGGAAACAGAAATTAGGATTACATGTGTCCTGCAGTTTTGCTATAACAGTTGTCGATCTGAACCTGTTGGTGTTTTGTATATAAAAAAATCTCTTGGTATGAGATAAACAAGTCTTTTTCATACCCTTTCAAAGAATTTCTGAGTTGCTTCTACAATACAGGATGTATAAGACAATACTACTGGTGTAGGGTCATAAAATATTGAATAATCCCAAAACTTTGAAGGAAAGAAATCATTTTTAAAATTTTTCTGTCATGATCAATAAAAAACTATTTTTTTTTTATTTTGAGAAAAAAACACTTTCTAGTTAATAAATTTAACTTGATTTTTATAAAAGTATTTTTTTTTTATTTTGAGGAAAAAACAGTTTTTAGAAGGTGTAAAAAATTTAGTAATGTTATATTATTTGTTGATTATATCAAATTTGATTTTTAGATTTTTAATTGTTAAATATTTTGTATTGTTTTTTTTTTTAATTTCATCTATTAAAATTTGATTTTTATATTAACTTTGGTTTTTATTTTTATAGTTTTTATTTTTTATTTTTATTTTTTAATTAACATTTTTTATTTATCAAATTTATTTATTATTTTTTAGATTGTTACTTATTTTATTTGACATAATTGATGAAATTATAATTATTATAATTATAAATTTATCATCTTTTAACTTTTTTTATCTATTAGATTTGATTTATATTATTTTAATTGTTATTTATTTTATTTGAGATAATTTATAAAATTAGATTTTTTAATTTTAATTTTATTTAATCTTTTAATTTATAAGATTTGTTACTTATTATTTTAATAATTTTTTAAAAAATTATTAATAAGTTATTTTCCAACTATTTTTATGACATAATTAAATATTATAAAGTGTATTTTTCTTGATATTACCAAACATAAAATACGATATAATTTTTAAAAATTTCTTTTATAAAAATACTACATTCCCAAAGAAAACTTAAGGAAACTATTTTTCAGGGAAAAAAGACAGGTGAATTTCTTTCTTTTTGTGCTGGTACCCATAAATTTCCTTTCTTTTTGCATATATATTTTTTATGGTGATTGCATTTGATGAAACTCTGCATCGTGTCCAATAATCTGTTACACCAGGAAATGCCACTCGTGTCTGATTCACTATTCTATTGCAGAGTACTTGAGAAGAGTTCAAGATTAGTTTGAATTGCGTAGATACCAGACAAACGGAAGTGATGAGAAGTTCCTTGTAAATAACCTACCACTTGCTAGAACATCCAGATTAGGATCATGAGCTTTCATAATGACATCAATTGATGCTTATGTCAAAGTTAAATTGTGTGGAATTTGTCCTCAAGTAACAGTACAAGGTTACTCAATATTCACAAGAACCACCAAGAACTCCTAAACAAGCAGCTTATCACTCGGGAAACGTTTCTCTATTTAGTCTGCATGAGAATGTTGATGCTTCAGATTTTTAAAATCGAATGTGTTATTTTGAAGCAAGATGAAACGAAAAAGAAGCAGAAATTGCTTCAGTTGCAAAGAGGGAAAAATCTGGCACAACCAAGCTGGCAGAGAAGAACTATTTTGATTGCCATTAGATCAACATGACTCTCTGAACAAACCATAGAGTAAACATGACTCTCTGAGCAAACCATAGAGTAAACTTGCACAAACATCTCAACAAAAATCAGACCTATTCTCAATCACTACTTACAACCAGCATATGCTAATTGACCAGACAGGAAGTTCCCAAAGAGTATCCAACAAAACAACTTTGGTTCCTGGGCATAGCATATAGCATGTGCTGTTGTTTTTGCAGATTCTTTTTTCCTAGCAATTTGCACTGCAAATTGAGTTACGTGACATTTCAACAAGACAAAAAGGCTTCTTTCTGAAGATAAACCGGCGATGTGATATTCAAATCATTGCAAGAACCGAGCCTTGGTCAATATCCTAATTGAAACAAGAAGAGATCCCTGAATGCCCTTTTCTCATACTAGATCTTTCCGGCTTTTGGAGGCTGTTTGAACGTGGACAAGAAAAGGAGATTAGAGGGGGCAAGAGAGAAAGATCTATTTCTAATATACTATGCACGCACCTTCTTAAGGGTTAACTTTGAAGTGCTTGCTGGTAGAACTGGTTTTAATATCTCAAAGGAACATACTAAGGATTCATCAACGCTCAACACAGCACCTGCATTGTCAAACTCCCCACCATAGTTTGGAGCTGAAAATATTGTTACTAATTTTCGTTTGGCAAAGAACTCGTATCCATCCTCCACCACCTAAAACATAGCAAAAAACTTTCATCTGTTATCATTGCTGGAGTTGCTCTGGGTCAAAATTATAAAATAAAATAAAATGCAGAGGGCTACAAACTACATGGAAGTATCAGTCATATCTTTATATATTTTGGTAAGGTAACTGATTATCATGATAGTTTTGCATATTTTCTCACTCTTCATTGTAAAGCAATCTTATATTAGATTTAAAGACACGTAAGGTTTGGTAAATTAAAGGGCTTCATCAATAGAGAACAAAATCATACCTTTAACAGTAGGGCAATAATGACAATCACTATTCTTTGCATCATAGTATTTCTAGATAAAATAGTCCAAGTAACGCAAAAGCTTTTGGCAACACATATTTAGAAACAGGCATCTCCTAAATTATGATCCAACATACTCCAGTTACAAGGTTTTATTTGGTTATTTGCAAGGGGAAAAGAACCAAGGAAGCTGGGAAAAGCTGCCTCTTCAACTTTGCAGTTTCTGTGGGTATAAAGCTTGCTTAAAAAGAAATTGTCTCACCTGATGACCTCGGCAAATGAGATCCAGGTCATTTTTATCCAAAAACTCAGCAACTTTATCAGGTCCAAAGGTACATGAAACACCTCGATCACTATCCGACCAGCCCTCAACCCTAGCATCAGGATCAGACCAAAGTAGATCGCATAGGAGACCGCTATCTGGGATTTCGGTAGGTCTTTGAATTTCCTTTATTTGGCCCAAATGTTCCAACTCTGGAGAGAGGCCTCCGTGCATGCAGAGTATCTTTTCATCAATCAGTGCAGCAACAGGCAAACAATTAAAGCAGTCGGTAAATATTTTCCACAGCCGGACATTGAATCTCCGTTTACACTCGTCATAAAACCCATATATCCTATTGATCTTCGCATCCTCATGGTTACCCCTCAAGAGGTAAATTTTGTCGGGATGTCTGATTTTGTAGGCCAGAAGCAGACATATAGTCTCCAAACTTTGCCTCCCTCTATCAACATAATCCCCAAGGAAGAGATAGTTTGCAGAAGGAGGGTAGCCACCGTATTCAAACAGCCTCAGGAGGTCTTGATATTGCCCATGTATGTCACCTGTAAAAAGACAGAAAAAATTAGATATGCAGGGGCCCAAAGTGGAGTTAAGGAGACAAATGATGACTAAAGTGCTTTGCCACATTGTGGAGTTAAAGAAGATAAATGATGACTACAGTACCCCACTGCAAATGAGCAGCAAGATCCTTCCCAGGGTGAAAAGGAAGTTAGAAGCAAACAACCAAAATATTCCACAACCGAATGGTTGTCATGTGTTTCACATAGTTTATGGGCCATAACTGAAGAACTTGGTAGCTTCTTCCACCAGCACATATCCTTTCAAATTTATGAGGCAGTTCCAAGCTAACTATGATTCTAAGGCTCTCTGTTTATTTTTTAGACTTGTGTAAGCACATGCCAATCCGACCTCACCAGAGTTCATAAACCACTCACAATTTTCAAATTTCTTTCTTTTTGATAAATTGGTAATTGCAGAGAATGGATTTGAACTTCAGATTCTCCATTCTAAAGGAACTGTAGCTACCAATCGGGCAATGCTCTACCAAGGTTTTGACGGTAATCAATGATTGGGACGAGGATGAGCTTTTGCCCCATCCTCTCCCGGAAGAAACACATGACTGGTAACAAGATAGATGTCCTCCTCCAATCATAAACTAATAATTGTAATCCTTGCTTCCATTCAGTCCAATCGAAAATATCAATCCTACCATTCCTTCCAACTGAATAAAAACACCAATCCCTTCACCTCAAACATTACAATTCCTTCAAGAATCAAACTAAAATTATGTAAAATTAGATTAATCATGCCGTGCCATAACCAATCATCAAATGATCCATGTCTATAGATAAGCTAAAAAATGTCTCTTTTACTGGAATCATTCAACAGTCTTCTATAAAAAAACTCACACGATCATCTCACATTAAAAGCATAAACACACATCAGACATGATGATAATCAACCCATTCATTATCAATAGAAGAAAAGAGAGAGAGAGAGTGCTAACCACATATTCGAATGGGAGCTTTAATCGCAAGGAGAGTAGGCTGAGAAAGGAAGATTTGGCGAGCATTAACACATAATTGACGGATCTCTCCTTCAGATAGCTGCACTTGCTTTCCTCCTTTCCCTTCTAACAACCTCCTTATTATATCATCCAATACTGCCTTATCCATCATCCCTTCCATCGTCATCATCATCATCTTCTTCTTCCTTTTCTTCTTAACCTCCAAAACAAAACAAATCAATACCCAATTCTTTAAATTTCTTATAAAGAATCAAGATTTAAGTCCTAGAACAAGAAAATAAAGGACCCCCAGATGGATTTTGGTGTTGGAACAGCGAAATAAAGGATCAAATGAAGAATTTACACAGAGAGAAAAAGGGTTGGTGTATTTTGATCAACAGAAATAGAAGCAAATAAATTAAGGAAAGAGACGGTTTGGGGGGGGGGGGGGGAAAAAATAAAAAAAAAAAAAAAATTAAAGAAAAAAAGGGTTTGGGGGGGGGGGGGGGATAATAGATCAAGATAGAAGCAAATAGTAATGGATATGGGTTGTCATTTTCTTGATAAATCTTTTCTCTCACACTCTAAAAAAGCTATTTTTTCAATGCCAACTGCCCAACAAGATTCAAATAAGGCAAGGGAGGTTGAAACCTTCAAACTTCAAAGGAAAGGTTGGGAGAGAGAGAGAGAGACTTGTTAGAGGACAGTAACAAAAACCGCGTATTTTGAAAAGTCAGTTAATACGTGTACTGCAGCTCTTTCTTTCTTGATTGATTGCCATTACCTACCTTTCCCTGTCTGTCTTGTCTCTCTCGCAGGTCACAGGTCTCACACATATATACATAATCGATGTTTTGATGATACATTTGTTTTGTTCGTGTCATTGTGTGTTTTCATGATGTGGTGTGCTCAGTTATCAACCCGCCCGCTACGCCCGACTCACGAGAATACAAGTTAATTATTTTAATAAAATAAAATAAAATAAAACCATTTTTATTGCAATTTGATTAGTCGACTGGTTATTCAAATTAGATTAATTCTAAATTGATTTTTATTGATATCTAGACTGTGTTTTTTTTTTAAATATATTTAACTTAAAAAACATTAAATTAATATTTTTTATGATTATAATGTGCTAAAATTAAAAATAAATTTTTCAAAAAACTCATTTTAATATATTTTTATAAAAAAAATATTTTGAAAAACATCTTACATTAAAATCTCAAATACTCTCTTGACCGAAAAGTTCTTAGTTAATTTACTAGGTTCAAACAATATAATAAAAAATAATATTTATGCACAAGGTATATATAAAAAACAAGAAAAAAATAACTTTTATAAATAAGTCTTATTAATGGTCAGGTTGTATCTAGTTCCAACCTCAATTTCTATCCCATTTTCAATGGTTTGGGCAGCATTTTTTTTTTTTTTAAAGGGTGCAAGGAGCCACAACTAATTAGTATATTCAGTCCCAACTTTTTCAAAGGAAAGCTTCAATGGTAAACGAAGATGTCCTGCCTCAGATTGTATCATTTAAGATTTTAAAAATCAATCTTAGAGAGATTCAGTTTCAGTGCGTGGAAAAGTAGTTCGAGACACATTTAGCATCCATACAAAACAAAATATATGATTATATATATTTAAGGGTGTGGTTGTTATTATTTTTTTAAATTTTTTTATTTAAAAAATATATAAAAATATATTTTTATTTTTTAAAATTATTTTTAACATTAATATATCAAAATAATAAATAATTTTAAATTTGTTAAAAATAATTTTAAAACACAAAAACAGGAAAAAAAAAATGTTGGTAAGTAGAGTTTATATTACTCACGGCATTCTACAGATTAATCGGAATTATACTTGTATACCAACTTTTTAAAAATTACAACCACATGTATATTAATCTACATCCTAAACTATTTTATAGTTTAATATGATATAAACTATAGTTTTTTTAAAAGGAAGTGGATGAGTGGAATTTTTTTAATGGCTGCAGGACGACCTCAACCAAGTTGATCTCTCAGTTAATTTAGAACTATTATTTTATCTGCAAACTGCTAGATTTCCAAGTAAGTGCATCTTTCTTCAAAAGCAAAACGTCCAAGATTTTCCTCGGGAAGGAGACTTTTTCAGAGTTGTGGCCAGCCCTTCCCTAGCAATGTTGTGTTAGATGTTATAATTATTATTTGAAAAAAATTATTTTATAAAAAATTATTTTTTATTAAAATTAATTTAAAAAAATAAATATTTGATTAAAATTATAATTAAAATTAAAATTAGAAAAACTTAATATATAATGAATTGTGCTATTTATTATTTTTTAGATAAATAATGCAATTTTTTATATTATTCACATAAACAGTATATCAAATACATACTATTTATGTTAATTGCATTCTTCATTAAACATTACAGTTAACATTAACAGTGTATTAAAAGCAAAAATTTCTTATTTTTTATTATTTGTGCTGGGGATGAAAAATCATGTGGGACCTGTAAGCAATAAATATTTTTTTTGGAAGAAAGAATTATTTTTTTAATTGAAATTTTTTATTTATTAAATTTAATTCTTATTTTTTGATTGTTACTTATTTTATTTAAAATAATTTATAAAAATTATTATTATTATAATATTAAATTTTTTATTTTTTATTTTTTTAATCTATTAGATTTAATCTCTATTATTTTAATTATTATTTATTTTATTTGAGATAATTTATGAAATTAATTTTTTTAAATTTCATTCTCATTTAACCTTTTAATTTATAAGATTTATTTTTTATTATTATTTTAATAAATAAAAAAAATAAAATATTAATAATTTATTTTCTAACTTATTTTCTATATCATAATCAAATATTAAAAAATATTTTTAATTTATTTTTTATAATATTATTAAATATTAAAAAATTACTTTCCTCCAAATAAAAATGATAAGTGTTTAGTAAGATGTGTAATATATATATATATATATATATATATATATATATATATATACATTAAAATTATTTAAAAAACACATTAAAAATATTATTTTACAAACTGTAAGTACTTTTCTTCTTCATTTCTGTCATGAAAAGCAGGGCCAACTTTAAGCCGAATGGCTGGTTAGTGCAAACATGACTCTGCATCCACAATTTTTGATAGCCACCATTCTAGCTCGTGGTAGCTAGAATGACTTCTACTTTATTGTTCATGAAGGAGGCCCTCTTCGCTCATTGGATTGATTCATGATTTTATTTTTGTGCTGATATTGGAATCACAACTCTAATAGTAATATCCGGTATCGGTTTTCTTTTGGCTTTAGCTGTAGTGATTTTTGTGGATTCATAAACTAATTCTTTTTTCAATTGGATTTTAATTGAATTATTTATATTCATAAGAAAATATTTTTTAAGCTTTTCTCATATTCATCTAATATCCCAGAAAAAAAACTTTATTTATAGCATTTATTTCCTATCCCACAACACAAAAAAAAAACCCGATGTATTAAAAATAAAAAAGAAAATATATTCTCTAATATTTTCTATTTTGAGAATATATTTCAAATATTTAAGTCCCTATCCAATCTATCACAACACACTAACCAAATACAACGCACGATCCTCAGAGAGCAAAAAATCCATTAACAGTAATGCTTAAAAGCTAAGGGTGAAATCATGGCAGCATAATAAAGAAAGGTAAACACAAGAGTGCACATATTAGAAGCCATCATGTCAAAAGGAAAAGGTCTTCTGAGCTGAAATTCCCGGAATATTTACATTTTATGAACTCAGCGAAAAGCATGGCATGACATAAGAGGTGGATGTTGACTGCATACTCCACTCCAGACAAGTAACCGACAGAGTAATTTCCTTTACAATGAGTGCATTCTACCCTGGAAAACCAGGGAAATTTTCACTGATTTCCTGTCCCAACAACCATCAATGCCAAATTGCTAGTATTAATGTCTGTCCTGTTGCGTGCAACCATAAACACAAGGACTGAAAAACACCCCTCGGATTTAATTAACTTTTTAAATGAACTGTGACAAACATAGAAGCTGATGATGATAAGTCAACTCATCAACATACAGTCTGGCACGGCCACAGTACAGGGTAACATGCAAAATGGCTGATGCAAGTTAGAGAACCTGTTGGCCCAAATAAGCTTAGTTGGGAGACTTCCCTGTTTACTGTGAATGGACTCAACTAGCACAACCATATTATCAGTCTCTTGCTACAATGGAGAACAAGATCGTACCTCGCAAAAGTATAATTTCTGGGACTATGCAAGTTTGATGAGCAGATTGTAATTTTAATCAATAATATGGCTTATCATCTAACGTCTCTTCTTCACCTGGCAATATTCTGCAATCCATCATGTTAGACATTCAGCTTTGAATACAATCCTCACAATTCAAAAGCTTTTGGTTTACAAGGGAAAAAAAAAAAAAAAACGAAACGGGGTTGGCCCTTTGCATGATGAATATTTAGAAGAGGGCTTTTACATTCCACTTGATTTGAAGCATGCAATGCCGGAGAAAAAAGTAGGAGTTGGTTGGAAGTAAAATAAGTCCCAATCAAAGCATTCCAAAATCCAAACTGGATGTGTACAACGCCATTGAGAACATGAATTTTGCCTATATGCAGATATGAAGAAATCGCATGGATTACAATGTTCTTGCAACACATGAACTTGTTTGCTATAATATCAGCAGGCCTACTGCCAGTTTCAAGCATGAATACACTCCGAAGGCATCATAGAAAGTAGATTCAAAAGCTAAGGAAAAAAATACAGCAAACAGGAAATCACAAGAGAAGGAAGACACATTGGTAATACCATATTTCTAACCCAGAAAACTTGGTAAAAAGCAGTATTTTCTGGACCTATATAGCGGGCTGCATCACAATCATAGTGGTTGTGGTGGTTTCCTCATCAAAAGCAAGCAGTGAAGGCAAAATGAGACATCGCCTAAATGTACTCAAATAAAAAAGCCATTGGCAGATAGCAGAATAATGGACTCAAATTCTTTTTGAGCAAATCAAAGGCCATCACTGGCTTATCCATTCTGACAATAACTTCTCTAAGGTACTCTTCAGGTATAGCACAAAAGAAAAGACAGACTAAATTTTAATAGAAAGCAAAGAAAAGGTAACCTTATTTGGAACCAACCCGATACATAACTCTGTCCCGCCTCCCTAAGTAATGTAAGAACACAACGGCATGGAAATGCAGGAGCAAATGCACAAATACACCAACACTCGCAATTTGGTAGCAGATTCAAATTAATACGATGCCAACATTACAATAACTTAGTACTCAATCGATTCAAAATCACCAGAAAGGAAAACTCATTCCATTGGCAATCTTGTCAAGTTGAAAAACAGTAAAGGCAATCATCTGATCATACAAACCAGGACTAGAATTATTTCAACATGTTAAGCACAAGTATTATCAGTTAATGCCAACCAAATAAAGCCATTATTCCAATTCAAGCATGCTGCTCTTTTTTTATTCCATGTTCCTTGAACTGGGCAACGGATACCCTTTTTCTAACTTAAAAAATGACAGCTAGGGAGAAGATTCAAGGAAAAAACTAGCTTTGATTTGAACAATAAATAACAACAAACCTCATTACAGTGCCATCCCCATTTCTTAAAGGTTAAGAAAACCTCATCACCGACTAAATGCTGAAAATTCTTACTCTTTCATTCCCATCAAATTCCACCAAGAAACCCTTCAATCATTTTCATCACAAAAAATTATCATTTCAATGACATGCACCCTCATTTCAATTTCAACACAACTTTTGTGAATTAGGCACAATTCAATAAATTCCTTAACCAAAATAAAAATTTCCACAATTGTTTCTACACTGATCTATTTCTAATCCCACAAACATGGGCATTAATAAAAAAAGGAGCAGCAATAAAGGGCATAATCCTGTGGCAGCCCACACGAAAGAGAGAATTTTGAGACAGTTTACGATAACAATTACAACCCAATTCAATTCATTCTAATCAAACGAGAATCACAGGTTTAAAAACCCAATAGAACAATTCAATGATTGAAATACACAGATCTTTCTAAGAAGAGGATAAAAAAGGGTTTGATCTAATCTTGCTCACTTTCCTGGTCTTACCACCACAATTCAAACCACAACCACATTGAGGACATTCTTCAAAATTATCAACTGAGAAATCAGCACCAGCAATTCCAACAGAGAATTCAAGATCATCACCGTTTCTTGTAACCTCAATAATATCAACCCAGAAAAAAAACAACTTCACGCTAACACCTTCCAATCTTGAAAGCCTCCCTTTTGATATGTAACCATTGATAGTTGACTTGTACCTTAACTGGTAAGATCCTTCAAGAGAAAAACTACAAGTTCCATTCCAGAATGCAGAGAATTTACCTGTTGTTGTGTCAAGAGAATAGCCAACAACTCCTTTAGGAAGCAGTCCTTTAGGGAGGTTGTAGTCACCCAGGATTTCATAGGCTGTAGGGTTTTGATCGAGAAAGTTCGTTTCTTGCAATAAAGATGATGATGGTAAAGATTGTGAAAGCATGAGAATGAGGCAAAGAGCTGTAAATAGTAAAGGCAAAGCCATCTTTCTTTGGAGTTCTAGATTGGGTTTCCTGGGTTGTTCTTTATGGGAAGACAGGAACAGAGTTTGTTTATGGGAAGGAAACGTACGATCAAATGGAGACATGGCTTTGCAATTTTTTTTTTAAGTAATGATAATAAAAATAAAAATTATTATTTTAATATATTTTAAAATAAAATATATTTTATTTTAAAATATATTAAAATAAAAAAATATTTTTCACAACAACCATTATAATAATATTTAATTAGCCCTTGACTAGATTATTGAAACAATTATTGATGTTTCGTGTGCCAAATAAAAAAAAATAAAAACATATAATTTAAATTAAAATAAATATTTAATACAAAATTTGTTAATATATATAAAACAATAATATATTAAATTAATTTAGATTAATCTATCAATACAAATCAATAATATATTAAATTGATTTAAATTAATATGTTAATATGCATATCATATTATTAAATCAAAATAATATTATAGAAAATAAATCAAAATAAATTATAAATATTTTTAATAAATTCAATGTTGAATAATAAAAATAAAAAATAATTAAAAAAACTTAAGTACCGAGTTAACTAGCTAAACTCGCAATTTAAGTTATAAATACAAGATAATTTCATAAAAAATAAATAAAATAAATTATAAAATTTAATTTTTAAAATATCTAAATTAAAATTAATAAAAAAAAAAAACATAATCAATAATCAAGTGAATAATGGTAATTGTTTTTTTTTAGGCAGTGATCAATTGAACTGTTTTTTATTATAATTATGAGGTAACTTTTGTTTTTCTAGTTTAATCTAATTTTTAAAAATGTCTCTTAAATAATTTTTTTTTAAAATATTATATTGATAATATATGGATGTTTTTTTTTTATGAATTTGATGTGATAATGTTAAAAATAAAAAAAATTATAAAATATTTGATATATTTTTAATTGAAAACTATTTTTGCAAAAGCAACATACATTATATTATTAAAAAAATTACATTATGGTAGTTTTTATAGTTGTTTTGAAAAATATATAAATTATAACTTTTTAAAACCAAGATTTCAAGAGATGATCTTGAGATTCATGCAAAACTACAGTGTATGTTAATTAATATTTTTACATCGAAATAAAACATAAATTGTACCACATTACATTATACAAACAAAAAAAGCTTTATTTTATTATTATTATGATATTAGGTGTTTTTTAATTAACAGTATATTAAAATATTTTTTTAATTTTTTAATTTTTACTTTAACTCATCCAAAACTATAAAAACCATATTAAAACACAAAAGCAAACAATAAGTAAAAATCTTGTAGATGGGGCTGTAACCTCGGTTGGTTTAAGGTTAGGTGGGCTGGTTTCTTGTTGGGTTTAAGGTGATACTAGGGCTTGTCTAGACAGGCTTCAAAGAAATGGGTCCTTGTTTGTTCTAAGTTTTGAGCTTTGAGATGGGTTATGCTTGTTCTTTCAAATACCATGATACTGTCCCCCAACGGATTGGAAAGATTCATTGGGTGATGGGTTTGGATTCGGTTTTCATCGAATTAGGTTGGATTTTCAATTACTCTAATTTATTTATTTATTATCTACGTGGAGAAATTTATTTTTATCATGTAGATCAAGATTCAATGAGCCGTTGATTAATATTATATATAAAAAAGAAAATACTATCCTTGACGTACTAGAATCTCAATAATGTGATATTTCATATAAAAAAACATAACAAGTTGAGAATATATTTAGGATTATGGTAGGTGTTATTTTTTAAAATGTTTTTTTATTTAAATATATTAAAATAATATTTTTAAGTTTTTAAAATTTATTTTTTATATTATCATATCAAAATGATTCATGAAAAAAATTAATAAATTCAAAAAAATTAAGATTTTTCAAAAATATAATTGGACCGTAAAAACAAACATAGTTCAAATAAAATAATGCAACCCGGCTTACATTAATTATCATTTGATATACAATATAATCTTAATAAATTAATACCTTTTATTAAATAACATTTCTATTTTGTCCTGACTTAAACTTAAAGTTTAAATGATATATTTATTATTAATTAATACATTTTATAATCTTAAAAGTATTGATTTATAGAGGTTTAACTGTACATAAGCATGCCAACAAACAATTTTATTTCTGTCTATCCTCCCTTCTCCCATAAAAATAAAAATAAAAATCCTGATCAACTCAAACTGATCTAGTCCAAACTGATATGCATGCAACCAACAGGCAAGGCCTCTATCCTTCATTATTTTCTCTAAAATGGCTGGAAGATTGTAGAAGGTGTTCATGCTGTGAACCATGCTCTGAATCCTTTGATGCTGCATTCTTTGATGACTTGGGTTTGCAATATATTGCATAAAGTATTAGTTGAGCTGCTCCAAGAAAAAATCCAGCCACATTTGCCACCTATAAAGGATCCCAAGCTCTTGATTAATTTGTGAGTAGATATATAGGTTAACTATATATGAGATTGTTAAATTAATTCTTAATTCTTAATTCTATATTATTATTATTATTATTATTTAACATTAATCTAATATGAAAAAATCTTCAGGTTTGCAAAATGATGGGATGGGATTAATTTTTGAAAAAATATGTACAAGCACTTTCTAATTCATAATCATTGCGAGAGACATAATTATATATGGATTTGATTTATTAAATCCCGAAGAGATAAAACAAATTTATCTTAATTTAATATTAACATTTTAAAAATAAAAGTAAAGTTTTAAAATCTTATTTAACAGCACTAGAATCAAGTTAAATATACAGAAGCTCTAATATATATATATATATATATATATATATATATATTAAATGCAGCCTAATTGATAAATGATAAAAAAAAAAGAAGAAAAGAACATGATTATCGATTATTGCTTGTCAATTAGAAGAAAAAGTTGGATTATGAAATGGGCCATGTATTGATCGTGGTCAATCAACATTATTTTCTATAAAATATCTATTTCAATAAAAAAGGGAAAAAGGTTATTTATTTGCTTTATAAAATATTATGTTATATTGTATTATATATTAATATTAAATATCATGAAGAAGAAGATGATCATGGTGTCATTGTACATACTCCCAGAAACCAATCTTTCCTTGGCACGGCGTAGCAAGTCCACACCCCTCCATTCAAGAAAACGAAAGGGGACAGAAGGAAAGGCATAGACTCCACAGTTTTAGTCCTCACCACTTTTTTCTGCAATCAAACATGTAATATTACAGTAATTATTAAATTTTAGCAGGGTTTTAATTTAAATTGACTTGGTAACCTAATTTTTTAAACAAATTAATAAATTTTAACTGAATTGTGAATCGACCCACTGGATTAATAGGATCAAAGCAGGTCAACTTCAAATTGAAATCTTTTAATTAACTATCGAGGAAGAGGCCGCATAGCTTCTTACCATGGCTGCAAGAGGAGAACCATAAATGACTACGTTAAGTCCAGCACCCAAGAATCCTATGATATCGATCTTTATATCACCCTGCAATAAGAACTGGCAAACAAATATTGCTGCTGCTAGAAAACCTACATCCAAAATCCCAATAAGCATGGCAGTCTTTGCCTAGAGGTAATTTGTCATAAATGGTCAGCAAATTCATCAACATAATATATTCATTTTACATCAATTGTCACGAATTCATGATCCAATAGCTTTTCTTTAAATAGAAACAAATTTGATAAATAATTATAACTCTTAGTAGAGTATTAGAATAGAAAATCCATGAGATAATGATCTCTCGGTTCTAGAGCTTTTTTTTGTGACGAATACAAAATTCGAAAAGATCAATACCCTAATTCTTGGAGGTGCAAAAACAAGGAACAATGTCAAGAAAACAATCTCAACGACAGCACCAAACCCATTTATAGTGGCCACGAGAAACTCTCTAGTCTTGATAATACCATAGTAAGTCCACATGGAAGAGTTTAATAGTGTGCAAATGTAAGGAAGGCTCTCAAATTCTTCAGTCGATCGATGCTTAAAAATACACTGAAATACCCCCTGAAGTATTCAAAATCCAGGTTGATCATCTAAATTTGTCAACTATTAGCTAGAAAAGAGATTAATATGTCAAAGAATTATCTCACCTAACAACTTAAGTTGTTAAGTGAGATCTCAGGATATAATTTATATTATTTTTTCACATATCCCTTCAAATGAAAGTCCTTTAGACTTGAAACTTGTATAGGTTTACATTACCTTGTGTTTAATTTTTATTAAATAAATGGAGATGATGAGATTCGAATTCATGACTATTTGGTCATCAAGACTCTAATACTATGTCAAAGAACTATCTCACCTAAAAGTTTAAATTGTTAGGTGAGATCTTATGATATGATTTATATTATTTTTTAACATAATATTCTGGATTATAAGGATGAGCATAGATTAATTTACTTACACAGGAGAAAGAAAGAGTAACACTGAAATAATATTACTTGTACGTAATAACATATATATATATATATATATATATATATATATATATATATATATATTAGCAAAGACCCATTTAGTTAATTTTCTTTGAATGGAAATATAGTAGCAAAAACCAGCCAAAACAATATTTTCTTTTACGTAGTGCTCCAATAATCAAACTGAGACTTTCCATGCTGTGGAAATAATAATGTAATTGTCAAAAGGGATTGTATATATTTTGGGGTTTAATTTGTTGAATGAAGCTTGATCATAGGGATTATGAAGAAGAAGAAGACGAAGAATTTGCTGGAGGAGAGTCTATGAAGCCTAGCTTTGAAAATTAGGTAGAACTACATGTGGCTTTAGAGCTCATCCACCATGCAAGTTAGTGCTACTCAATCATATCTCGTCTCTGTATGTCTTTTCTTAAAGGTCTAATGGCGACTTTATTAAAAGCATAGTGCTAATGTTCTCCATCGTAAAATACATATTGTATGACCACTTAACTCATTTGAGTCGTATTTTAATTTAACTATTTGTATTATTGACCAGTTAATTCAACCAATTCAATCATAATTAAATTGATCAAAACCGATTTTTACATTTTATCAAGAAAAGAAAAGAAAAATATTACCTATGAGTTGACTTGTTAAACTTCCTATATATAGAGAAAAAGAGACATGGATCATGTGGGAATTATTTAAGCAATTTCATGATATAGTAATTTAAGAAATCTTCAACATGACATGAATTAAAAACTAGAGGGAATCATGACATCAAACATAATTTCCAAATGATTTAACAAGATCCTATGATCTTTAGTCTGAGAATCACCTTCGAGAAAGGGAATTCAGTCGAATCTTTCCAATGATTTGGGAAAGGATCGACAACTTTGGGTGAAAAATTAGCAGTACTTGCTTGCCAGGGGAATGCCACTGGAGGGAATGTTTCGTTGAATAGTTTGCAGCTAATTGTTCTACTTTGGTGAAAGAATTATCTCCATAAAATATTTAAATCATCAAAATCAAGAGAGGAGAATTGAAAACAATTTCAAGAGTTCTCCTCTCGAAGAAAATGGATTTGCAATATGAGGATTGTTTTGTGATTGGTAAATATTAATTTATAGCTATATTAAATATGTTAAAGATCTTCTTTCACAATGTCGTTGTTCTAGATTATTTTTGTCATTTTTGCTTTTTTTATTTAGAATTATATCATTTAGGACTTATGATTACTTTCATCCCTTGTATATCAATTGACGAAAGAGTACCCTAGATTATCATATAGACTCATTTTTACAAATAAATAAATAAATAAATCATGCAATTAATTATGGATCACTATTGTTCTCGATAGACATTATAATTAAATGAAATAGCATGATAAGATATTACACGGAAAATACTTATTTAAATGTTAAATAGCATTATAATTAAAATATTAAAAGATTTATTTATTTCTAATTAATATGATAATGATGAATAAATCCTATAAAAACAACATTTATACTCCTAGAATCATGTTATTTGAGTGTTTTTAAGCAAGATCAAAATAATAATTGTACTATTTTAATCCATAATAAACTATGTTTTAATGCATAATAAAGGTTTTCTAGGTTTTTTTTTAATGGTCACCATTCTAGTTATATTTTGTTTCAAAATTTGGATTTATAATTTTTTTTAATAATAAAAATTCACATATAAGATATTGTTTGGGAATGCTATGCAAACCATGTTATAAAAAATTTAATTTTCTTACTAAAAATTATTTTTTTTTGTATATTTTAGATCGTTTGATATACTAATCTCAAAAATAATTTTTAAAAAATAAAAAAAATATTATTTTAATATGTTTTAGTATGAAAAACACTTTAATTTAAAAACAATAGTAATTACACTCTTAAACAGGGTAAAAAATAGTTAAACTCTAATCATTATATATATATTTTTTTTACTAGCATTAACCTAAACTATGTTAAAATAATAAAATTATCATTACAATCCACAATCAACAATCAACAATCAACAGGTGAGTACCCAACATTTTGGAGGTGAATTTATTCTCTCTTCTAATTATTTTTTTATGTTTTTTTTTATTATTTTGGTATATTGATTTTATTTTAAAAATAAAAAATATTATTTTAATATTTTTATAAATAAAAAATAATATCTATAACGCTGTCTGAAGTAGTAACGTTGTATTCATTGATTCACTCACCTCCATTGAATGGTTCGTTGAAAGGCGGTTTGTTGACTCGTTGGTGAAACATTGTATGCCCAATGAAGGTACCTTTTCTCTGTGTCAGGTTCCTTGCCTATCAAATCAAAAGCATCTCCTTTTAATATCAGGAATTTGCTGTCTGCTGTCATTTATGTTGTGTCCATGAAATTTTGTTTGCAGAAAAGCTCTCTCTCTGGGTGTGCTAAAATTCGGATAGGTTGTGGGCGGTAAGGAACAGAAGGCTGAAGCTGTACCTGGCAAATCCTCTTCAGCAGAGGTTACTAGTGGGGTGATTCAATTAGTCTGGTGCAGATTGCAGAATTTTGAAAAATGCTCTTGAAACTTCCAAGTTCTGCTTAGGTTATAGAATTAACTAGTTCTGTTTTCTGCGATTCGCTGCAGCTACAGATTTCAAGGTGTCAGTGCCCTCATTTTCTTCCCGATCAGGCCTTCACTAAGTGATTTTGAGCCAACACTGAAGATATTTTGGATCAATAAAGACTAAATTAAAAGAAAAGGGTTAGAAATCACGTGGAATGAAATTCAAGAATCAAGTGATGAGGCTTTATTCAATCAGGAACTAAAGTGAAAAAAGATAAAAAAAAAATATTTGGCACGTGTGGAGGCCCCGCCGTGTTATGGCAGCACGAGTAGCGTTTTCCAATCTCAAAAAGGGGTCTTGGTGTCTTTAATTGTGTCTAACGATCACTTCCATTATAATTCATGGGTGGCGGTTATTTCTCTTCAATTTTCCTTCTCTTTCTCTCTGTATAGCCTGTTATTTTATTTTTATTTTTTTAAAGGATTGATTTTTTTTCATTTGTCAATTATAATCCCTTGAGTTTTGATTTCTTGAAAAAACAAGAGACCCAAATAATATTGGGCAAAATCAAGCATGAGTGGAATGATATTTGTTTTGCACTCTTGAGAATCTCACGGGGAGTTTGTTGAAACAAACCATCAATATTAATTTTAAAATAAATAAATATAGAAAGAGAAAATTTTAAAAATTAAAAAATATAACAATCTCAAAAGTATTTCTTTTGGTTTTTTTTCTTAATAATTAAGAAAAGTTTTGGAATTCTTTTTGTAAAATTAACACAATAAATTAAAAAATTATCAAATTAACAAAGATTCAAAAAGATACGAGGAAATAGCATTATCAGAAACACAATATAATCAAATTGCATTATTTTTGGTTTAATTGGTTGATTGATTCATAATAATTAATAAATTAATATTAAAACTTTTTAATTAATTTTTTACCTAATTTGAATTTAAAATTAAATTATATAAAAATTATTTTGATATGATTCAGTTATGTTGAAGCTTAAAAGACAACCCCTATTACTATTAACAAAATTTAATGATGAATTTGAAAAAAATTAAAAAAAAAAGAAGAAGAGAGGAAATGAGAAAAAGAAAAGGAACTTCATTATCCATCATGAAGAAATGAAACTCCACAAATCAGGCCAATTCTTTTGGCAGAGAAAGATAATCTTCCACTCTTTTTTTTTTTCTTTTGATACATAAAATAAAAAGGTAAATAAAATATCCGAGATATTTTTGATAAAACAACGTTGTGCCCACATCACACCATCGTCGACTTTTCTAGGAAACCAAATTGGAAGATGGGATGAGGGGCTCATGTTTACTCCCGTCCTCCAAGTTATCAGATATCTTCTCGGAGGGCTTAGGCTTCATGTATATGACATATAAAATCAACTGTGCTGTCCCGAGCAGAAACCCAGTTCCATTTGGTATCTACATATGGTCCAAAACATGTTGCTGTCAGCCCCAATTAATATTCCATTAATGGAAGACAGCAATCATGCTGTCAATTAAATGATGGCGGGGGAAGATTCTAACTTACTCCAATAAAATAGTCGTCTGTAAGAAAGGCATACACGGTCCAAACTCCTCCATTTATGAAAAGAAAAAACGACAGCAGTAATGGCATGTACTCCACACTCTTCGTTGCTACCACTGTTTTCTGTACATTTCAAGCAGACCATACATTAATTTCACCATTATAAGATGTTAAAACTATATTGTTTTAGTATTTAAAAAAGACAAATATGGTCTGAATATCCATATTAATAATAATAATAATAAAAAATCCCATATCAACAAGTCTATGGATTGACCCATCAAGCATAAGCAGGTTTGGTGACAATGATTAAATCTTAATTAGTTGATTAATTCTAACACGGAAGAGGTGAGAGCATGATAAGGGAGATGAATGATCTTACCATAGCTGAAAGAGGTGAACCATATGTGATCATACTGAAGACAACACAAAACATGCCTGAAATATCAATCCTTAATTGTCCATGTAACATCAACTGCATGAGCAAGAATGATACTGCAGGAAACACCAAATCCAGAACTCCAAACAGTATGGCCGTCCTCACCTAATGTTACATACAAAAACACCATGAAAAAGATCAAGAACACAGAGATATTGATTTATTCTTGAACATTAACACGGGAACTGGCTTCATTCTTTAAATCGAAACTTACCCTTATTTTCTGAGTGGATGCAAACATCAGAAATATCACGATGAAAACAAGCTCAACCACAGCACCAAAACCATTAATCGTCGCAACAAGCACACTGTTGGGCTTGATGATTCCATAGTAGACCCACTGGTATGCATTAAGTAACTTGCAAATGTAAGGGATGCTTTCAAACTCTTCAGTTGATCTGTTCCTTGCAATTCTCCAAAACGTTTTCCTGAAAGTTTATTCCACATATCAATATTTCATTGGAAAACTTACATTACAAAACAACTATCTTGATTTTTCACACACACACACACACACACACAATCAACTCTTACGCTGGAGAGAGGTAAACTAGACCAGTGGTGATGTTGCCTGTAAACACAATAAAGAAGAAGCTCAAAGTTCATGAGTTTTTCGTTGCATAAATCTAAAGCTACAAGAAGATATTCAAGCTCGAATTATTGGTCACCACAGCTTTACCTAGTATCCCAAAAAGGGCAATTATGCTAAACATGGCGCTGAAAGTTTCGATAAATGTAATGGATCAGTCTCTTTGTGGTTTGAACTTTGAAGAGAGTAGATAGATAGCTAGCTTGAGCTAGCCTTCAATCATCATTCATGGATGCTCGAGAACTTTACAAATTTATCCTCCAACTCTAAGGATAAAAAATGTTAACAGAAATGGGTACTTCAGAAAATTCACACAATTAGATAAACCTTCAAGCTCAGTACATATCATTATATCAATACAACTCATCAACTACAAATGGGTATTTCATTGTGATTGACCCGACCACATTGAGGGTCCCTTTTCTTCTGACTGGTCCTTGACAAGGAAGGGACACCTGGTTGCAGGGGATGTGGATCTAATGGTTGCCATAACGTTTAAGCAGGGACATGAAGAGTTGAGGCTGTAAGTCGTGCACACAAAACGATGCCGTCTAAAGTGTAAACGATGTCATATGGCTCAGAATTTGAAGAAATTAGTGGTGTCTTGAATATTGTACACTCAAAGTACATGACAGTAATTGAAAATGTATTCGGTAGACAGCGGCAAATGTGGTAACGATTTTATTTTATTTTTTGCATGCTGCCAGCATATATTAATGAAGTAGGTGGAGATGTTCTGAGTGAAAAATATAAAAATAAAGATGACATCCAAGTTATATGTTCCATGGACATATTTAAGAAGATCGATGCAGCCATAACATTAAATTTAAGAGACTGAGTCTGTTTTTTATTTGTAAAAATATTACGTTAATATATTTTTACTTTTTTTTTTAATATGCAGACATTAAAAATTAAAATATATTATTTTAATATATTTTTAATTAAAAAAATATTTTTAATTGCAGAGAGAGCTGCAATTAAAGATTGTGTATTTGAATCTTTCAAAGATTTAGGGCAAACTTGTTTTCAGATTTCGAGTGCTCCCAAACAGACCTATAAGAGACGAGCTGGGGGTACTACCGCAACAATTGCAGAGAGAGCTTATTGTTTTACTCCCTTTTCCACCATTCAAGCATTAATATTTTTGATCGTTTACCAACAGACCGATATATGAAGCGCAGAAGGAGAAGCGTTTCTGTTGACGTGGAAGGATATGCATCAGAAGAAGAGGAGGAGGAGGAAGAAGCAGAGGAAGGCAGTGAAAGCGAAGCAGAGGAAGAGGAAGAAGAGGAGGAGCAAGAAAAGGAGGAAGAACAAAAAATGGTAGTTGTAGAACAAGAAGGATCAACCTCGTAAATCTGTTACATGTGAGGCAATCGCTGTATTCGTTCAACTTGGCCTTAAACTCCATTTACTAACTCGGAAGCTGAGTTTTAAATTCTTATTGCCTTGACTGAATGGTGCAATCATGGAAGAGGGATCCATCCTTTGAAACTTCCTTTTAACAGGCACGACATTGAAGGTTAATTTTCTGATGCTTTGTTCCTTCAAAATATGTGAATCATTTTCTCACAAAGCTAGGACACAAGGACGTCCTGGACCCTTACAAAGAGACTGCAGAAAACTAAAATCTAACGAACTGCAAAGGAAATTTATTCCATCGGTTAAATAGATCCTACAAATATCCTTATCTCTAAAAAATGTAGTAGGAATTTATCAGCATGTCTTCCATTTGATTATTTCATAGAAGAATCATTCGTGGAAATTCCCAACGCATTGTTAGTTGCATGCAATAAGTTATTTCTTCCATCACATGCATGGTAAATGTATGATCATCTTAGGAATCCAAAGAGAGCAAAATGAAAAGTGTTGGAAACAAGGAATAAATATGTTAATTTACTCGTATCAATCCATAATTTATAAGTTTTATTTTTTTATGTAATTAAAATTAGAATCAAATAATCAATAAATATAATACAATAATTACACAAATCAATACTAAAATGTTTACATAGAAAATATGATACGAAAAAAACCATAAGATCATAATCTATCTAAAAACTTTCACTATCAATAAATAATGAGTTTATAATTCAACTAAAAACTACAACATATATATCATTAAGAACAACTTATTCTTGGAATTTCTTTAAAAAAAACTTACAATATTAACAATCTTGTTTTCTACCAAAATAATTATTTACACCATTAATCTTTAATCTAATTGTTTAAAATAAAAATAATATATCTAAAAATTGCTCTTCAAATCTCAACTCGATCAAATAATTAACAAGCTCAAAAAAAATAAAAATAGACAGTTCAGCTGCCCCAACTTTTTTTCCCCCTGTATTCTCTATTATATTTGCTCTAATTAATTCACTGCAATCGCCTATAGTAAATAGTAGGTTTTTAATTTCAAGATACTACCATAACAATCAATATAATGGTCCCACCATCACACCATCACATTGTGCGAACCGTATATAACAAAAAGATGTCATTTCTATAATCATTTTAGCCCAAGGAAATTGATATATGCGGTCCTCATACTCCTCTTAACATCCTAGGAACTTTTGTTCGTAACATTCCTGATAGTGTGACAGGGTATTTTGGTTTGCTTTAAAATCTTGTTCTGATGATGTTCTTTTGCAGGATGCCGTTAAAGAAAGGGGCACCACATGAAGCAGTCCCTACAGATGTTGAACAGTGCAGAAAGACACTGAAAAGATATTTGGATATGTCTGTAGAGTCTATTTTAAAGGATAATGAATAGAGTAACATGGAGAAAGCTGTTGGCACTCTTTATTATTTTCAAGGGATGCCTTAGCGGCCCCAGTTCTAAGAGATCTGAGGAAATAACTAGTTAGTCTCCAGGATAAGATCCATTCTCTCACGGATTCCATAAATCCTGCTGATGCTTAACTAGATCCTCTTTGCAGACAAAATCCTGACTTCATAGCAATGTTAAACCAGGAGAAATTAAATATACGAGATGAAGGATCGAATCTTTCAGAGTTCAGTTGCGAAGAAAGAAGTCTCCAAACGGAGATTGAAACGCTAACTGCAAAACAAGAATCGGCTGTTTTTAAGATTACTTTGAATGAAAAGAATGCTGACAAGACAAAGCAGAAAATGGGAGGGATGAAGAACACAGATGGGAAAGTCGAAAAGGATGAGCACATTTGTTTCAAATGGCAGAAAGAGATGCGTGTCAAGTGAGAGCCACTTCCATGAATGCCAAGAGGGTTTCATTCAAGTGAAATCTTTCATTTCCCTTTTCCTAAGACTTGTAATGTGAGCTTACAGAACATGGCTGTTGATCAATCAATGAAATTCAGGTAATCTATGTGCTGTTGCTGTTGCATTGCTGGGACAGTAGATGAAACCGAAAACAACATTGAAAAGAACATATATTGTGCACAGGCATTCTTTCACTTGTTGGCTAGTTAAACTGGCACTTTCATATGATTCTTGTAGACAGATTTATCGACATGTTCTTTCACCCTCTGTTTTGCTTGCACCTCCTTTATCAGCTTTCTTGATTCTTTGCTAAATGAAATGTTCATGGAGAAACAAGAGATCTCTCGTATCTGGTTTGTAGATATCGTTTGTTATTAAAATTCTGCTTTTTACTTAATTATAAGAAAATTACTTCTATTAAGCTTCACATATAATTACATTAATTGTATATTATAAAACTAAAACAACTTACTTTCAATTTATAAAAACTGTTATTTATTTATTTTATATAAAATAATCCACCTCATCGTATTTTTAATAAAGTTTATTTGATAAAACACTTAAAAAAATATTAATTAATATTAATAAAATTTAATTTTTATTTATAAAATATTAATTTTCTAAAACACAAAAAAAAAAATAAATAGAAGTGCCAAAAAAATAAACATTAATCCTTAAACCAAATTAAGAATTAATCAACACAGGCAAAAGCTAATTGACGAAAATTACAAAACAGCACCCCTTAATTAATATTTCACATAATTAGTTATTTATCTTATAACAACGTCCTTACATTTCTCAAAATTAACAAAACAGTGCATCCTTAATCATCAATTACCAGACGAGGGTCAACCTCAACCCTAGCGACACCATGCCTTCCTTCAGCAGCCTTAGCCACCTCAATTTCTCCAACAACCACACCAGCCACATCCTTCTCTTCGCCCTTCACAATCTTCTCTTCCACCACCTCATCTACATAGTTGGGATCCTTCTCATCTATAGCAGGCGGTGCTGCAGCTTCCAGCTCGATCTCCGCCTCATCATACGGTCCTTCCCATGTGAATTTCCCTCCGTGGCCTGACTTGGGTGGCGGCCTGCCTATCCCACCTTTCCCATCTACAGGGTGCCTTTCCATGCGCATCACCCCTTTGTCCATCAGTTTCTTCTCCACGTACTTAGTGGTGTCTATGTTGTGTGTCTTCAGCTCGGCTTTCTCGACCTTCTTCTTTCCTTCTTCATCTCGGCTCACTGTCTTTATCACCACTGTGTCCTTCTTGTCGTCAATGACATTCATCTTGCTTCTTGTGTGTATGGTGTTTCTTGCTGTGAATGGTCTTCTTATATAGAGAAGGGTTTAATCTCCTCTTGGATTCTAGAAGGAGCTAGAAAGATGATGAATGCCTAAATGGTTCAAGGAGGAGCTAGAAGGTTCAAGCACTTGGTGTTCTGCTTCTGTTGCCATGTGTTGTTGTGTCAGTCTTTCTTCTCGGCAAACCTCCTTATTAGTCCCCCAACTTTGTATAGTCTCTTGATTCAGTCCTCCAATTACTGATTTCTTGTTACATTTTCTTTTTTTCCTGCTAGTGAAATTTGGAGTTCATTATTATTAATATGATATGTAATCTTGATTGGAAAGTTATAGATATTTTTTATGAGCTAATCTGTGCAAAGTTTCTCTAAATTTAAAGTTTTTTAATGGACACTCTCTGAAATATATTTTTAAGAAAAATTTAACCTTCAAATTGAAGAATTTTTTTTTAAATTAACCTTCAAAATATAAGGTGTTTTGATTTAATTTTTTTATGTTATATTTTTTCCCATCAAATAACATTATGTGAGTTGAATGTGTTTTCTTGTAAAATATCAAAGTATTATAAAAAAATTGGTTAAATTTTTTCAAAATCAACCTCCATTAATAATATTGTGATAAAAACATAATTTACAACGTAGAAAAATCATAATCAAATTAGCCATCGGTAATTTATATTCTTTAATGATTCTTTTTTCATTTTAAAAAAAAGCATGTGATGTACATATGATATTTAATGATTATATTGGATATAATATAATATAAAAGATGTCAATCAAAATACATTATAGTTAAGGGTTGAAATAAAAAATAAAATAAATTATCAATGGTTAATTTGATGATATGTTGTGACTGATGTGTGAATATATGTGTGGTTGTTGATTTATGTACTCGAAGATGTTACTATTTACCTAGATTTACTTCCTTTTCATGTTTTATTTTTAAATATTATTATAAATATAGATATATTATTTTTACTTTCTTTAATATTTATAAAATATATTTTTAAAAAATAAATCCAGTTAAAAATATCACATTGCTAAAATTTTAAAATAAACAAGAAAAATTAAATAAAATCTTATATAAAGCTCAATTTTAATCATAAACTCAAAGAATAATTAAAAACTGGATTCAATATAAAATCGGAATTATTCAACAGATTCAATATATACAGCTCAGAAAAATAAAACATAAAAACCAGACCCAACCCCAACAAATATCATCTCATCAAGATTCAGAACCTTTTACATTACAGAGCAAACATTGCTGCGGCAACTATGCCAACTGATCCCACCACTTGATTTCGTGTGAACATAAGTGCACCAGATATATCCACAGGAGCCACGGGACTCTCTACGGTTGCTGCAGGAACTGCCTTTGTAGGCTTTTCTGGTGCAGGTGCCACCGGTGCTGGAGCTGGAGCCTTTGACGCAAAAATGTCCTTAGGAAGGAGCACCTTCTCAATCTTATAAATGGCTAGCTGGTTGTCAGTGTATACCGTGCCGGATAAACTGGTATTTGTAAGTCCTGTGGTTATGTTCACTGAGTTTGGATAACTTGTGACATTAAGTGGTAACCTATTACCTGTTCCAGCCCATGTTCCGAGAGGGTTACTCACGGTCTGGAACTGGGAGGTCGATAAGAATGTAGGAACTACATGGAACTTCACCAACTCAGACTTGTCTCCATCACTTAGAGTGTTGAGAGTTCCTGATTTGAGTTCCGAAAATGCGCTATCAGTTGGTGCAAAGATGGTTACACCAGAGCTTGAATCATTGAGTGCGGAGAATAAGTGGTTTTCCTCTTGGGTGGATCTCAAAAGGCGAATAAAGATCGTGAAATGGCCAGCCTTCTCAAGGATCTTGGTGACGTTTGTAATGCCGTGTGGTTGAGCTGCCTGTGTCGGGGTTGCAGCTGGAGGTTGTGCGACAACTACAGCTGGTGCCTGTGCTGGGGTTGCTGCTGGTGACGTCTGAGCAAAGGTAGTGGTACAATAGAGGAAAAGGAGGAAAAATGAAAAGGAGAAGAGTGAGTAGAACTGTTGCTTCATCTTTATATTCTCTGATATCTTGAAACAATACTAAAATACCAATGTAAATTAAGCTCCATCGATCGTTGAAGTGTTGATGTGTGTAAGGAAGGGATAGAGTGAGGTTTTTATAGTGGTGGGAAGAGGATCAAGTTAGGTTTAATGTGCAATTCTAGTTCCAAACTAGGTTATTATGTAGTACCTTATCTTACTTCAAAAGCTGGAGGGTCCTGTCAATGGAGAGGGAAATTTAACAATGCTGCAGCAATTAACTAGTTTGCTTGGAAAAGCAGGAAGCGATTTCAAGTGGGTGCGACAGCAAAATGAAGATCTCAATGATTTTCAAAATTATAGCTCTCAGCATCAACAGGAAGAATAGTTTTATGATTGATAGAGCCTTCAGAGACATGGTAGCTGAAGAGAGCGCAACATTCACTTGCATTTTTGGTAAATACCATATTATTTTTTAATAAAAAAATGATGTTATGGTGTCAAAAGTTTTTTTTTTTAAATAAATTATTTACGACTGGGATTACAACTCTAGTAAAATAAATTGATTTTATTTTAATTAAATAACAAAATAAACAATTATAGCAAATGAATAGAAAAAACGAACACAATAAATTAAATAAAATTTTTTTATTAAAAAATAAAAAATAATATCATTTAATTTTCAATAAATTAAATATAAAAAATTAAAATTTAATTAAAAAATAAATAATTAACACTAATCAACCTCGGTTAGCAGAATAAATATATAACTTAGCTAGATAACAAAAGATAAGTTATTCCAAGTTAACTAGCTGAATCTAAAAAAAATTAAAAAAATTAATATTAAATAATAAAATAAAATTGATCCAATATGCTACTTCACTTTTAATAACACTAAAGACTATCTCGGTACCTTAACTAGTTCAGTGCATTTGCACCTGATGTTATTTTCAAAAAGTTTTAAGTTTGATTTTTCATCAGTTAAGTTGTCTACATAACTGAATTTGTAAGCCCTCCAACTTTCTAATTTTCCTAATTTGAGTCCAAATCATTTTAATTTTGAAACTCTTGATTGAATTTATGTAATTTTAGTACTGGATTGAGATTATTTACACAATCTCTTTTCTAAGTTGACAAGTCCTATGATGCACATATGGTGGATTTGGTACAATAATCTTGCTCTTTGTTGCTTCCTTCACCGAGTCAAAATGGAGTCAATTGAAAAAACCAAAAGTAATTAAATTGAATAATGGTGCAGTCAGTTTGAATATACGTTGTTATTTTCTTACCAGTTATGTAATTATAATATATTTTTACTATCATGAAATGTTTTTCAATAATGATATAAATCCTATTTCTTATTTTATATGTATAATTTATATTATAATATATAATATACTTATAGTCCTATCTAAGACGTGCTTGTTAAATATTTTTTATTGCACTTATAATTTAAAATATGAGCATGATTGAACAATATTTATAGCATGCAAACATCAATTACAAATTAGTTTTTTTTTTGTATAATTAATGATAAGAGATATTTTTAAAGCAGTTTGTGAGTCAATTAAGATTTTTTTTTTATAAAATATTAAGAATATATCTTTCATATCGCTATAATGGATTTTAATATATACATATAATTAGTTAAATATTAGTTTTTTCTTGGATGATTTAAAATTATCCGATCTTATCGCATCTTATATATATATATATATATATATAAACCGGCAGCTTTTTAACGTGCACCCTGATCTTGATTTGTCAACGGAATAAAATGAGCTGGAAAGCTCGATTATATATATAAAATATATATTTTAAAAATAATATAAAAACATTTTAACTAAAATATTTTGTAACCATTTGTCTTAATATTGAATTAGTGTAGACAGTTTTGTATGAAAATTAGGGAAGTTTATTGATATAGCTGGCTTGAATTTGAGTTATAATTATATTTAATTTAATTTTTAATATTTTACAAATTATAAATAAGATATTTATTTTTATATTTGAGTGAACTGAATATAATGAGCTTCGCTAAATTTTTGTGTGAATATTATAGATGTTTACTAGTTAGGTTTATATTGTTAATTTTTAAAAATATCATGAAATTCTGACATGTTATTTGATCAATAATATTTTTTCCTTAGTTTTTTTATTTATTATTATCTATATCATATATATTATTTTATTTTAATGGATTAAATAGAGTTAAAATATACAAATATTATAAATCAGCAAACTTTTTTTAAACACCGCTGAATTTGTTGATATTACTTCGAAAAATAAGTGGGAAGGAAATTATCTTGGCATATCATGGTCCCACGGGGTTTTGCCCGACTTGGTGAAAAAGGTGGAGTCTTTCTCCACTCCCGACGATTACTCTTTCTCCACTTAATAGGGTCTGTAAAATCTAACCCCCAACCCCTAGCAAGTCTCCCCTTCTTCTTCACTTCTATACTCTACTTTTTCAGCAAGAAGTGCCCTTTAATGCTGCACTGCATTTGCCTATACCTGTGTTACTCCTTCATCTAGCTGACCAGCCATCTCCACGATTCCAGGTCAAGCATCTTCTCTCTTCCTTTTCTTTAATGATTATCACACTGGTTTATAGATTACTGATTTCCCATATTAATTTGCTATAAGTTTGGTTCACTTAAGAACTTGAGATATTGAAGAGGGAATCTCTTTTTCTTCGTAGAAAATAAGAATTGGAATCATAGATGAAATTGGGATTTTGTTTTGGTAGCATCAATTATTTATTACAGCAGGCTTGATTTCAGCAAGAATAGTATTAGTAACTCCAAGTGAAGCGTATTTTGATGTGATTTTAGCGGATTCTTTTCTTGCCGTACAAAGGGGGAAGAAGGGTGCGAGCTGAATTATGGTTAATAATTCAAAGATTTCAAGGATTTGTACAGTACCTAGCCTAGTAGGTGATTGCGGTGAAATTCAGGAATTGGCACTGGTTTCAGGTGCTGTTAATCTTGAGGTTTAGCAGGCTTATGAATCACATGACACAGCAACTTCATTGAGTTTGGGTTCGGGTTCGGCTCGGTGCTACAAGCTTGGTCCGTGTTTTGATTCATCATCATCTGTTGAAGAAGATAACAAACCTGTAGCTGCAAGGTTGTCTAAATATTACCCTTCCGAGAAAGCCAAAATTCTGGTGCAGAATTTCTCAAGTTTGGTTTCGTGGCAGAGCTGGTGCAAAAATTCCAGCCCAATTGTTGGATGGCATCTACCAGACGAAACTTACTGTAATTGGGTTAAGAAGTTGGAAAAGAGACTTGAACAGAAATGGCGCGACCTCCGTATTTATGAAGCGATTATGCTGTCTACACGTCTCATTTCCTTTGACAGTCCTCTCATGTCTGCACTCATGTGCTTTTGGGACAAAAGTTGCAATGCTTTCCTCCTCCCTGAAGGTCCGATGGGAATAACAATGGAGGATGTGGTCGCAATCACCAGTTGTTCCCCAGTTGGCATTGAGTTATCTACATTAGGGACTGACCCGCCAGATGTAAAGAACACTTATCTAGGGATTGGTGTATCTAGTTACGGCAATTTTGTGACTAGAGCTATGTCGCTCAGAGATAAAGAACAAGAGGAAATGGCTTTCTACTTGTACTGGATATGCAAGTTTGTTGTTTGCAATCGCTCAGTCATGGTTCTGAAGGGCTTTCAATGTGTGGCTGAGACCATCTTTCATGCAAAGGGTCCAATAGCGCTTGCCCCTTTTCTTCTTGGCCTTGCCTATAATTGCCTAGGCAACATTCTCAGATCAGATTTCAGTGAACATGTGAGTGGGCCTCTATGGCTGGTGGTGCTATGGGCGCAGGCTTATTTTAATCCTATTGCAGCTAGTAGTATATCTACACATCTTCAAAGCTCAAGGCAACAAAAATTTAATGGCATATACTCATATGGGGATTACATAATTTTCAGCCAGGTTCATTACGAGAAAACTTTCGGGGAATGTTTCGACTATTTGACTGACAGCAAAAGGAAACGCCAAGGAGAGGAATGGAACCCATTTCTTAAAAGGGAATTTGGTGCTGACTGGTTCCGTGCTTTCACGCTTCATCAGAAACACACTAGAGATGAAAAGGATGCCTGGAAAGCAGTTCTCATTGCTCGAGATTTACCAGCATATTTTAGTCCTCCTTCATTTTTCCTTGAACCTTACTCCCCAAATCAGTTTGCTAGGCAACTTGGACACCTCCAATCAGTTCCTGTCCCTTTCTACCAAACTATCAACCAGCCTTGGCATTCTAGGAACACTGTGGCTGCTAATGTTCTTAAGCATGCAGAGAAGGACTATTTCATCAGAAAGTCTGCGATGTCACAGGTACATCAGATTCATTGGTTCCCATCTTCAGATCATGCCTTTGATTTTTGGTGGTTATGGTGCTGGGCAAATGTTGCTTCATATGTCTCTGAGGCAAAGAAACATTTTGTTTCCAAGTTTGGCAATGGTCCCAGGAAGATGCATAAGAAACGCCGTGCAACACGTACTCAGAAGTTGCAAAGAGGTATCTTACAGCTCCCCTCCCCTCTTCTCTTTTCAAGTACATTTTAGAGTTCTGTTACTCAACTGTTAGTGTTGGTATGATAATTTATGTGGACAGCTCCAAAACGTAGAGCAAGAATGGTTTCAGCTCTTTTAGAACCATTCCCCGAAGGAAGAGGTGGAGGAAAAGTAGAAGTAGTAGTAGAGGAAGAATCATCATCGTCATCATCAGAAGATCTGCCTTCTAATAAAGAAGGAAAAGGAAAAGAAGTAGAAGATGGCGAAGAATCATCATCATCAAAAGATGAAGAAGAAGAAGAAGAAGAAGAAGAAGAAGATGATGATGATGATGATGTTGATATGCCTTTGACAAAGTTACGACATCAGAAGCCCTCTGCTGATGAAGTAAACATTTCTTTCAACTTAGCCATTTTTGTCCATGATGAAGTGATTTGGAAACTGAACTTGAAATTTGATTTTGCCTTGATAGAATGACATGACATTAGAAGAGTATCCATCCTCTGAAGATCCCGTAAACACTGAGCATGATCAGGTATCTTTATTTTTTTGAAAAGAATGAATGAGAGAAACAGCATAAGCTTTGGAGAACAATTTGAGATACAAATTATCTTGAGTATTAACTGAGAAAGCCTAAGCTTTCCGTCGGAGGCAGCACTTCACTATGTAGCAATTTGTAGATTATCTGGTGTCTGACCACCGTTGAAGTTGAATTCTCTCTGTTATTTCTTTCCATCTGCACCTGATAAATGTAAGAGCACCATGGTGATCAAAGACAAACAGATGGGCATTTTCTACTCCTGATTCATTTGTAGTCCCAGATTATCCAGAACTCATAGTCCCTACTGTCTTGATCCAAAGCACTTTGCTTTGCTGTTAGAATCTTATGTATTTCTTTTGCAGGATGCCATTGGAGAAGGTGACTTCACTCCTCAACAGAACCATGGCCCAGCTGTGAATGTTGAACAACAGAGAAAGAAGCTTAAACAGTACATGGACATGTCAATAGAGTCCATTTACGTGAGTGATCAATTGAACAACATGGAGAGAACTGTTGACGCAATCTATCATCATTCAGGTGATGCGTTAGAGACCCCCATTCTGGGAGATCTAAGGAAACAACTGACTGGCCTAAAAAATAAGATCCCATCTCTCTTGGCTTCAATCAAATCTGCGGAATCTGAATGCGAGTCTCTTCACAAACAAAATCCTGATCTGCCAGCTAAGCTAAACCAAGAGAAATTGGCATTACAAGCTGACGAATCATGTCTGTCAGAGCTCACAATTGAAGAAGCTATACTTGAACTAGAAATCCAAAAACTAATGGCAAAGAAAGCATCAGTTCTTTCTCAGAAAGCCTCGGCAACTGAGAGGGCTGAGAGGAGAAAGCAGAAAATGGAAGAGCTCAAGAACATAGAGGAAAGCATCAAGAAGGCAGAGTACAGTTGTTTCCAAAAGAGAAATGAAATGAGTAAAGTAAATGCAACCATTAACGCGACTTTGATGGACGCCAAAAGGGTTTTGTTCAAATGATTTTTTATTCTTTTCGTTTAGCAAATACATGTAACTGTGAACCTTGTAGTCCTTGCCTTGTCAAACAAAACAACATTCAACGTTATATTTCTCAAAGTGGAATGACATGTAATGTAGGTTTTTACTTGCCCTGTTGCTGCTCTACTTTTTTTTCTCTTGATATTTGTTGTATTCATGTGCTTTTTGTTTTTTCGTATTTTTTTCAGCTTCTTTGGTAATATTAATTGGTGTGCTGTTTTGATCACATCATTCTTGAGAATGCTAGCTGTTGCATGCAAGGATCATAAACAAACTTATTAAACATGATCCAGCACAAATCTCAGGTCAGTACAAATCTGAGATTAAATTTCAGGTCACACAGGTTAATTGAGTTAATTCAATATAATATAATATTATTCTAATTCTATTTCTTTCGAAGCAGAGATAAGGTCATGAGGAGGAGGAGAAAAGATTAAATTTCAGGTCATGTTAACCTGAGTTAATCCAATATAATATTATTCTAATCCCATTTCTTTAGAAGCAGAGATAAGGTCATGAGGAGGAGGAGAAAGAAAAGGAAGCAGATTGTACTCTAATGGAACCACCTTTTGATGGACAGGCTATCGGTAGTTTACAATTTACATGTACTGCTTCAGAATTTGCGTTCTTATGCGAAGGTTGCTGGATTTCAATGGAGAACCAGAACTTCAAGAGAGGATAAGAATGGTGAATATGCGGTGTCCGCGTAGTATGTAGTAAAGAGGGCACTGCCAAGTCTCGGGGAAAAAGGTCAAATTCTCTGAGGGTGGGTTGTGATATGGGGATTACTTCTAGCTTGCACATGGATGGTTGGTGGAGGATCAACAAAGTTTATTTGCAACACTGTCATGAGATTGGTCTGAATGCTACCCCATTCCTTGAGCGACAGTACTATCAACGTCAAATGATGGGTCGGGTGTGGAGGAAGATGAGGAGGAGGGGAAAGAAAAAGAAGAAGCCGGTCACTCATCTTTGCCTAACGGAACTGAAAATCCTTTAAAACAATCACCGTATGATGGGCAGGTTTTCTGTAGTTTGCGAGCACTGGTGCCGCATTTGAAATCTTATGCAAAGGTTGTTGGGTTTCAATGGAGAACCAGAACTTCAAGAAAGGATAAGAACAAGGGTGGAATATGTACTGTCAGCATGGTATGTAGTAAAGAAGGAGCCATCAAGTCAAGAGGAAAGAAAAACAAATTACATGGGCCATCAATGAGGGAGGGATGTGATGTTTCAGTAACTTCTTCCTTGAAAAAGGATGGTTGGTGGAAGATTAATAAAATTAATTTGTATACTGTCATGAGAATGATATCATTCTTTCTTTTTATGTTTTGTAAATATTTTAAAATTTTTAAAAAATTTAAATTAATATCTTTTTTAATGTTTTATTATTATAATATGTTAATATCAAAAATAATTTTTAATAAAAAATATTATTTTAATATATTTATAAATAAAAAATATTTTAAAAAACCACTACAACTATATTTTCAAAAAATTATAAAAAACCCAGTCCTGACAGCCCCATAGAACTCCATTAGCTTGTGATAATGCTTCACGTTCGATAGATGATGCAATAATGGGACAGCAGCCATCCTTTGAAGCTCCATTTTTCAATCAGTTTCTTTTTGGAAAATGAATAAATTTCATAATCACCAAAACATCAAAATCTTTAGGAATTTGGGATCATTTCAAAATACAAGCATGCAGCTTGGACTTGGATATCCATACCCATGAACCCCTTTCATTTCCATGTCAGTCTTGGGCTATTTGTAAAAAATTCCTTCATTTTTCCCACCAGATTTCTAGTGCCCAAGCATCAAAACCATGTCTTTCGTGTTAAGTAATGGGTACTCCAGCATAAATGAAGAATCAAACAAACATATACAACAGTGGCAGGACTTAAAAAGCAACTCCTAGAATCACAAGGAGACTGAAACTAACAATAGAAAACTAAAGAAATTTGAGACCCAGAAGCTGAAGACTAATGAGTTGAAAACAAGATTTATTGTTTGTCACCTGGCGAGATCCTATAGATATCCTTACGACCGTACGAGGAGGAACTGTAGATCTTTAGCTATATTATCTTCCATTCCACTTCACACTGTGAAGTTCAGTCTATTTCATAGCAAGGTTTGCTGGATTTGTGAACAGTGTTGAATGTTATCCGTTATTTCTTCAATCCATGCTATTGCCACTCTGAGATGAACTCTACATGATATCATCTTCTTTCTGAGCATCATATACTCTCTTTCCTTGGGTCCCTTTTCGCTGTTAGAATATTCTTATGTAGTTCTTTTGCAGGGTGCCATTGCAGAAAGGGACATCACTTGTCAACAGAGCTGTAAATACTGAACAGCAATGGAAGAAGCTTTGAAGATATATGAATAATTAATAGCGTCCAATTTAGACAATATTACTCAACTGAGTGACATGGAGAGAACTGTCGACATTCTGATCTGTCATTATTCGGGGGATGACATAAGAACCCTGATTCTGCGAGAATGAAGCAACTTCTCGCTGAACTCAACGACAGGATTTCTTTTATGGGGTCTTCAAAAGAATCTGCTCAATCTGAAATTGAAAATTTTCACAAAGAAAATCAGAAACTAGCATTACAATTAGAGGAATCAAAGCTGTCACAGTTCACATTTGAAGAAGCTGGAATTGAAGCGGACATCCAAAAGTTAATGGAAATGAAGGAATCAGTGGTTTCTCAGAAAGCTTCGGCTGCAGAAATTGTTGAAGAGGGAAAGCAGAAAATGGATGATTTGAAGAACAAACATTAAAAAAATAAAGAAATTTGAGTATAACTGTTTCAAATGGCAGGGTAAAACATGTAAATTCAATGTAACCACCATTGCAACATTGAGGGATGCCAGGCAAGTTTTGCTCCATTGAAATGTTTGATTTCCTTGTTTTCAAGAATGTTAATTTAAAATGCCATGCTACATATAGTATTATTATATTCATCTAAATATATATTTATTATTAATAAAAACTTAGTTTATCTTTAATATATTTATATAATATTAGATTGATGAATTTAGAGTTAAGAAAATTATGAGATTCCTCTTTCATCTAAGCATTGTTTTTAAAATATTTCTAATCGATACTCTCTTAAATACTAGATATTCATTAAAATTGTAAAGACTTGTAAATATTATGTTATTTCTTTTATGAAATAAAACAATTATTCTCAAAAGTTGAGATATAAAGAATACCTAAAACTAATATTAGGTGCTTGCTATAAGATATATATATTGAACTGACCCGCATGAGAATTTCATATAAAGAGATCACTTATGTTTATGAAAAGACTCATGCAACGATTGTGTAAATGATTCTTAGACTTGAGATCACTAAGTTATTTTATATAAAGAATATTATGCTTTGATTCCATTACATGTTATTTTAATCGATGTAATGAAATAACAAACATTAAATATAATATGAACTATATAAAAGTACTAGAGTAATCAAGAAAATATTTATCATCCTAGATGAATTAGAAAAAATATTTAATCTATTCTTAAAAAGTATTAACTGAGAAATTCTTGGTCAAAATGAAATAAGATTGGAAAATAGTTTCAAATCTTATTTAAATGATCAATTATTACTATGTAGAGAACAAACATGATTTAATATAGCATAAATACTCTATGCTTTAATATTAAATCATAATATTATTGATGAAAATATATTAATCACACTGAGAAATTAAACGGTCACTAAAATGTTAGTCAAACTACTAATGATTTTTCTACTATTTAAGGGATCTCATGACACAGACAATACACTTGATTGTCAAATATAAATTAATTAATTATTTAATTGATAATAAATTAAATTATTTAATTTAATTAAAATTTATATTTTAGTCAACATATTAGGAATTGAATGAGTCACATTCATTAAAAACCAATACTTTGAAATTAAATATGAATGATTTAATTAAGTATGACTTGATTGAAATATATTTTAGAAATTAAGGACTAGAATATAATTAATATAATGATTATATTTCTAGATCTAGAAAAATCAAGTAAAGACTTGATGGAATTAATTTCTAAAATTATCCTGAATTAATATATGGATATTATTCAGGAAATAAATTGATATTTTGTTAATTTATAGGTTTTTTTTTTAGATTTTCCTATAAATAGTAAGTTATGCCTTTTTTTTGTTGTTATTTGTTAGATATGAAATTTAGTATATTTTTTGAGGGTGATTCGCGTGAATTACTGTTGAAGGCTGGATAATTGAATGACTTGTGGTTTACGACAACTTAACATTTAAAAAATTATTTAAAACTGAAAATAATCAAATCTTTAGATAATAAATCACTAAATAACTCTAAATATACCTAACAGGATTTTACATGAACTCCTAAATAATTTTGTTTGATAATTTCTGTTGCGCTATTAGAAAACCCAGCAAAAACTTCTAATGTTAACCATGTAAATACTTGCTTTTTTTTATTACAAAAAAGAGAGGCTCGAACACATACTCTTGAGAAAAAAGATCCTTACTGCGAGTTCAGCTACATGCTTATTAATGTCATGTAAATACATACTTCTTGATCAATCACTGAAGCCCTTCACTTTTCGTTTCTCAATTTGGAAGAGTACATGACACATTGGCATTTAGTTTGTTCTGAATTGCTTTATACGAGTGATTCACAAGTTTTTTCCATGTCATGTTAGAAATTGAAGAGTTAAAATGGTCTAAAGAAGTGAAGATATGTCAAGAAAAAGCATTGTGCAGACCATAACGATAGCTCATATTCCACATTATATGCATCCATTGAAAGAGGCACCGCTTATGGCACCATCGGAAAGCATACCGATTATGACACCGCAGGAAACATATCGGAAGGCATATGCTTTTCCTTGATTATTGATAACACATGCGGTTAACTTCCCTTCCCATTTTGTAAAGTAAGGACCAAAAATAGTAAGTGCTAGGGTAACCAGGTACATGCATGTGGTCTTGATCTTTTTAGACTAAATCAAAGCATCAATCAAGGGTTGTCAAGTTTCCCATTCTCAATACCAGCCTCATTAGCCCAACTTGAACATTGCAACTCGTAATTACTCGAAGAGAGTGTCTTCGTGATCTTTTGTAAGCTGTGTTCTCTATTAACCGATGGCTTTGGCAGGCTGTTTCCCTTACTGAGACTTCTGTTCTTCAAGTTGCCCTCGTCGTCACCGTCATCTTCGTCGTCCTTATTTCTGTGTACAAGTATATCGACACTTCCTTTCACCATTTGTACCGAGCCATCTTCTTCTATCGCCTTCATTGCTTTGGCTGATGCTGACTTGTTCTTGTAAATTAAATATAGGATTAATTGAGCTGACCCCAATACAAAACCAACTGCATTAGGCACCTGAAGTTGGACATGCATTACTTTACATCAGATTTCATTTCAAGAGTTGTTTTCTTCATATACTTTTGAGATGCAGAGAGTCGGCAAATGAAAAAAAATGTTACGAGAACTTACTCCAATGTAGAAGTCTTTGACAAGCACTGCATAAGCTGACCAAACACCTCCATTGAGGAACAGGAAAAAAGAGAGCAAAAATGGCATGTACTCCACGCTCTTGGTCTTTATTACTCTTCTCTGTGATAATGCATAACATTCGAGCCAAATGGTTCATCAAGAACATGCTATATGATTTTGAAGAACAATAGAACTTTAAATCCAAGGAGTTTCAAGAACCTTAAAGATATCAATTAATATCATTACATATGTCTACTTCAAAGGAAATTCTAGCTACAAGCTCTAGTTAGTGAAGCTTACCATGGCTGATAATGGAGCTGCATACATGCCGATTGTTAATGCAGCACATAAAATTCCAACGATGGTAATTCGCAGATTTCCATGAATTGCTAGAAGAGCAACCACAATTACTGCTCCAAGAAAACCAACATTCAAAATGGCCGCTAACTTTGCCATCGTAACCTGAAAAATAAATAATATATCATGTATTTGAGTCATTATTATTGAACCCGGCCTCGCTCAAGACAAAACAGATAAAGCAAAAAAAAAAAAACTCCAGTTTAACTGGGAAACTAAGGATTTTTAATGCCATACATCTTGATTTTAGTGTTTTTTTTTATTAATTCACATAATTATAAAAGTGAGCTTGTTCATATTAAGCAACCAAAGGTTTCTTGATAAAGCAAATGGCCTGTGTTCATGGATTACATTGCAAAATAAGAAAATAGAAGAGACAATGAAACATCAATGAATGTCACCTTCGTATCCTTGGGGGCATAAATGAGAAATAGTGTGACATAAATGAATTGGGAGATGGCTCCAACTCCATTCACTGATACAACAAGAATATCTGGCTTGATAAGTCCATAGAATGTCCATAAACTTGTGCTCAGCAGTGTGGTTATGTATGGAACCCCTTTGTAATTCTCTGTTGATTTCTTCTTCACCACTCCCCAGAAGGTCTTTCTGCAATCATGCACAAAACCCATCTATAAATTAGATAAGCCATATCTAAAGTTTCCCCGTTAAGTTTTTCATCCGAATTATTCTTCAGACTTTCTATAAAAATGGCAAACTCTATGCTAAATCGCCTTCCCCCCCACCCCACCC